TATTTTCAGTTAGATCTTCATTGAATTGTGTCTACCCAGCAGCTTGACTTGAAGTCACTGTGACAGGGGAAGGAGAAGAATAACGAGGAACTACACCCCAGGATTAGGGACCAAAACTCTGCTGTTAGAATTGCACAGTTTTAGCTTTAGACAGAAAAGTCAAATGATGCTCCATCACTGCAGGAGGCTGCTGAAAGGATATTTGATGTACTCTGTGGGACTTTGCTATGTGCAGCTCTCAGTGCTGCTCACAAAAGGAAAAACAGAAGGTCAGTCCTTTCAGTGTAGATAAAGAGGGTGACCTGGATAGGGAAATAGGATCTAAAACAGGGGAGGCTGAACTTAAACTGGCTGTTACAGCTCAGGAAAAAGATGCTGGAGTCCTCACTGATGGTTTGCCAAAATTGTAGCCTTGATGTGGAAGGGAAAAAAAAATACAGTGGTGTCATCAGGAAGGGCTTGGGCTTGCAAAATAAAGAGGGCATCTCCTGCCTGTTGTGTAACAGCTTGGTGCACCCACATCTGTGTAGGTCTGGCCTCTGATCATGGAATCCTATAATCAAGGCATAATTTGGGTTGGAATGGACTTTCAAAGGTTGTCTAGTTAATAATCTCTGCCATGGACAGGGGTGGCTCCCACTAGATCAGGCTGCTCAGAGCCCCATCCAACCCTGGTGTTGAAAGTTTCCAGGGATGGGGCATCCCAGCCTCTCTGAGTAACCTGTGCCAATGTTTTACCACCTCCACCGTGAAAAACTTCTACCTTACATCTAATCTTAATTAAACCTCTTAATTTGAAACCATCACTCCTTGTCCTGTCACACCAGAACGTCTTAGGATGTGAGGACATTGTGGATTTACAGCCCTGAGCAGGGCAACCGAGATCAAGGGGATGGGGTAGCTGCAATACAAAGGGGTTCTGGGGAGGCTGGGATTTTTCTCTGGAGAAGGGGGAGCAAAACATGCCAGCCCTACAAAATCATAAAGGGAACGTGGACCTGGTGCATGATGAGAGTTAGAGCCACTGATCAGCCTGGTAGATTGATTTAAAATTGATAAAAAGGACTTTATTTGGAGCAGGTGGGAGAATGAACTTCTGGAACTCGCTGCCACAGGAGGTTGTGAAAACAAATAGGATCAGCAGGTTTATAAAAGGTAGAGCAAATTCATGAGCAGCAGCAGGTCAACAGACAGATGCTGAAGGTAGCAGGCAGGAAAGCAGCCTCTGGAATTGCTATTGCTGCTTGTGTGGGAGCTGGAGGAACACAACCAAAGCAGGGCCCTCCCCAGATGGCATCTCCTGCTGCTGAGAAATACAGAAAAACAACGCAGGGAGAGAGGAAGCACTGATGTCACCAGCAGAGCACTGCCTACCATCTCAGCTCCAAGCAAAATCAGATCTCCCAGGTGGTTGCTGTGTGGTAGGAAGACAGAGCAACCAGCAGGAAGAAAGATTTTGCATTTCTATTCAATTTCCATCTTTGTAGTGAAAATCTAATCAATGCTCATTTTCTGTCTTCTACCACTTTTCCTTTTTCCACTGGCAAAACAGCCAGTGGAGGAGGTGGGAGGATTCCACAGAGTTTGAATTAAAGTATATTTCAATCATTCCTTATTTTCAGACTGCTTGCCTAAGAAAAAAAAATCTACTTCTGCCTCAAAAACTGATGGAAGCCACCTCCAAACATTCAATATCTCTGGGAAAAGAGGGAGTGGGATGGGGTCTCAGAAATGAGACCATTGTGTCTCTTAGCATTAGCTAAGAGGAAACCAAGGAACTGCAAACCAGTTGGGTTCAAGTAAAGGAAACAAACCAAACAAACAGTGGGACTTTTAATCAAAGAAAGAGATGAGTAATAATCATGGACATTGCCAAGAATGAATCCTTTCAGATGAGTCTGTTTTCCTTCCGTGACAGATTCCAGTTCTTTGTTTACCATTATTATTTACTGTTCTGTCATCAATAACTTGTTTTGAAGTGGAGAACATCCTTATTAAGTTCTCACATGTTCCTGAGCCGGAGGGGCTGCAAGCACTGGCTTAAAATTCAAAAGGATTCAGACAAATCAGGGGGATAAGCAGGAAAAATCTGTCATTTAGGAAAGAGTGGCTGTCCAAACACACAGCAAAGAAACAGAAGAGCTATTGGCTGCACCACTCATGGGTTACACTATTGCCATATTGAATTCCAATATGGGATGTATAAACAAGAACAGTCTCTAAAACACATGATGTTTTCCCTCCTCATTCCAGCAAGAGGATCTCTCAACTGGTCTCCTGAGATCAGCTTCTAGTGAGGAATTAATTCCCTATCTTCCCACTGCTGGTTTTCTAGATCCCCCTTGCTACTGGGAAGATAGAAAATTCGTGGAGAATTCCTGTTAAACTCCCCTAGGATGCTTGACCTCCTCCAGAAGTATGTGTTTCTGTGTCCCTTTCCAGGACACACTCTCTAGGGACATGACTATCTAGCCAACATAATAAGATTAGAATCCAACCCATCTGGACAATGCAGCCAGTCAAGAGACTGGTGACCGTCCCTGTGATTGGGGAAGTCATTACCATCAAGCTCATTTCCTGATGTTGTTTAACTCCTCTTTCACTAAAAATGATCTCTGAGATGCCACTTGCCTTGGTGTCACCTCAGAACAGAGCACTGTGCTGTTCTGGGGGTATCTTTGAACCCTGGGTGCTCTGTCCATCAAGAATAAATGAGAGAAGAGAAAGGCCTGAGAAAGTGGAGAGATCAAAACAGGCATGACCTGGAGATACTCATCTCCTTTCTTCTGCTGAAGCTGCCTGGCATGATTCAGCTTCCTGAGTGCTGCCATGGCCTGGATCAGAGGGCTTTGTGTCCAAATCTGCCTCCTCTGTGTCACCTGGGGCTGTTTCAGGCTGCTGCTGCTGTGGCAAAGCAGAAGTTGCCTCCAACTCTCTCCTCAGCACTGGAGCTGCAGCAAAGCCAGCTGCAAAACCAGCACTGAGGCAAATATCTGACTTGCTCTGCTCCAGAGCATGGCTGCTGTGCTGCTGGTGGGTCCCGAGGCAGCTGGGCAGGGATGGCAGCTCAGGGCGTGCCAAGCTGTGCCAGTGTGTCTGTCCCACGGGGCTGGCTGTGTCCTGGGGCACACAGCCACGGCCACCAAGGCATGCCCAGTGAAGGGACCCCTGTGCTCTGGGCCAGGGGCACGGGGGGCTCGGGGAACTCTCAGCAGGGCACAGGGCTGATGGGGAGGGCTCCTGCTCCCTCCTCCAGGCTGGCAGCAGTGCCCCCAAAGCTCTCGGGGTCTGGGGCTGGCTGGCAGCCCTGGCTGGAAGCCCTGCTGCTCCCAGCCCTCGCACCCTCTGCCTGGCCCCGATAAAGCACCGCGGCCTGAGGTCCCCATCTTGTGGCAGCAGGGACAAACGGCTGGGACAACACGAGCTCAGCGTTCTCCGGCCAGGCAGAGCCCTGGCAGAGTGCTGCAGGGGCAGGACACTGCCCACTGCCACCCGATGTGTCCTGAGTCACAGCTCGGCTCGGGAGCAGTCAGGAGCTAAAGCAAGCTGGGAACAACGCTCACCCCTCACATACACATTGTCCCCACACTGCTCTTACACCTTCCCTCCTGTACCCACCACGCTCAGGACCAGGAGGGCCCTTAGTGGCTGGGTTTGGAGGAGTCCAAGTCCATGCTGGATTTGCTGCTGGCTCTTCCCAATGCTTTCCACACCAGTTCACACCTCCTTGCACACCTGTGTGCCCTGAGTCCCCACCATAACCTGGTTCTCCATGAAATCCCCGGGAAGTTGTGCCTACAGCTCTGCCTGGGTGATGCTCCTGGCTGGAAGGGTGGAACCTGCTCCACACAAAGATAGAGATTGGCCAGTGATGCCCTGACTGGCTTTCTCCCCCCTTCCTCACTGTGCCCAGGAACAGTGGGTGTGTGGGCTCATGACACCTGTGGTGCTTTGCAGAAGAGACCCTGAGGGCCTTCAGAAGAGACCCTGAAGGACCTCCTTCTCTCCTTGGAGTTACTGGAGTTTCTCCTGTCTCTGTGCATTCACTGCCAGTGCCATGGCACTAGGGAAGAGTCCATCCTTGCCAGTGCCAAGGATCAAAGGAGCCTGTGGCAACCTTGGCCGGCTTTGTGAGCCACCCTGGGGCTCCCTTGAACCTTCCCCTCCCCACTGAGGACCTCCCAGCCCTTACTCAGCAGCTGGCAGGTTGTACCCTCCTGGGACTATCTGTTGCCCAGTCTCCCACCACGCCCACAGCTGGAGGAGAGCCCACACGTTCCTTTATCAGCCCCCACCACGGCCACCCTGCTGTGGGCTGCGATAAGGGCTGGGGGGTGCAGACACCAGCACAGCTCCTGGGCTCCTTCTCGAGCCCTGACACAGCCCCACACTGCTGGGTCTGGAGCTGAGCCCCAGCTGCTCCCCTTGCAGCTCCCCAGGACCCTCCACAGTGACACCCAGCAACAGGCCATTTGGTGGAGACAGAAGAAGTCCTACACCCCTGCACAGCCCTGTGTGCTGGGTGTGCAAGGAAAGCTGTCCTGGCACAGGGAGGTCCTCAGGCTATTCCCACTCTACCAGGGAGAGTGTCACAGGTGCCAGGAGCTCCTGTACTCCTGTGTCTCCTGAAAAATTTTCAGGAGATGTCCTCTGGCTCTGTCCTGAACAAGGGTGCACGGGGCTGGTGGTGCAAGAGGTGATCCCAGCGTGGAATTCTGGTGGGAGAGCCTGGGGCTGCAGGGAGCCCCAGATCTTCCATGAGTCTCTCCCCTTCACTGGTGCCTAGAAGTGCTCCGTTTCCTCCCAGAGCCCCACGGCAGCAAAGCAGTGTCTGCCTGCTGGAAACCACCCCCCAAACGCTGCCTCTTCTCAGGAACAGCAAAACCAGAGCCCATTTCCTCCATGTACCCACCTGAGGGGGAGACCTCCAGTTCAGCCCCCCAGAGCACATCCCTCCCGCTCCCTTCCCGCGGGCAGCACACAGAGCAGGACACCAGAGCTGCAGCGCAAATGCAAGAGATTTTATTTCAGAACATTTGACTGCTCGCTGTGGGAGGGCTGGTGGGGTGTTGGCTCCAGCCCTGGCACAGTACACGTCTTAACGGTACTTGGCGGTCAGCACGGTGCCCACGGCGCACAGGAACTTGTCCAGGGAAGCGTGCACCTCGGGGGTCAGGAGAGAGGGGTTGCGGGTGGCCACCACCACCAGGAAGCACTGGCCCAGCAGCTGAAAGGCAAAACCATGTGGTGAGCAAGGGAACGAGGCAAGGGAGCAGCCAGGAGGTGCAGGAGGGAAGCCGGGCTGGTCACCCCTTCCCAGACACTCACTTTGAAGTTGACAGGGTCCACACGGAGTTTCTGGGCGTGGAGGTCGCTGAGCTTGGAGAGGGCACCAGCAAGGTCATCGATGTTGTTGACAGCTTCGACCAGTGCAGCCGCCACCTTCTTGCCATGACCCTTGACCTGAGCAGAGCCCTTTCCTAGGTCGAAGTGGGGGAAGTAGGTCTTGGTCTGGGGATAGGTGGCGAACATCCTGCAAAACAGAGGGGATCGGGGACAGGTGAGACAGGGACAGGGCGGCAAAGGACAGAGACAGCTGCGGATGGGGAGAAGAGGGGGCAGGAGCGAGGGAGTCGGGGCTGGAGAGGAGCGAGAGAGCCACGCCGGGGACATCCACGATACCTCTCCAGGGCGTCGGCACCATATTCCTCGGCCTGGCCGCCGATTTTGGCGAAAACGCCCTTGACGTTGGACTTGTCGGCGGGGGACAGCACCATGGTGGCACCTCCGAGTCGGTAGCTCCAGCACGGGTGTCCCCGCTGGCCGCCGCCGCGGCACCGCACCGGCACCGGCACCGCACCGGCACCGGCACCGCACCGGCACCGGCACCGCACCGGCACCGGCACCGCACCGGCACCGGCACCGCACCGGCACCGGCACCGCACCGGCACCGGCACCGCACCGGCACCGGCACGGCGGCTCTGCCTCGCGGTTAAGCTCGGGGCTTGCTCCAGAGCGGGTGCGTGGTCTCTGTCCCGCGGACACAGGCTGACACAACAGCAGGGTTAGGATTAGGTTAGGCTTGGGGCTAGGATGTGGTTTAGGTTTAGCTGTGGTGCCTGGGCTGGCACGGGGTGTTGTTAGGGTCTGCACTGGCGCTGGCACAGGAGCCCGTGTGTGTCCCCTGGCATGGGGTGGAACTGGCTGGGTGCTCCTGGCACAGCCTGGATGTGTTCTGGCCAGGTGTAGGGGCAGTGTGTGCCCCATGCCCCCACAGAGCCCCGTGTGCACCTGCGGGTACAGACTGACCATCCAGCAGCCTGCACACACCCCCCGAGCTGCCCCAGGGCACACACTGCCCCTACACACACTGCCCTACACACACTGCCAGCTGCCACCTACACGTCCCACATGTGTCCCTGTACAGCCCTCTCTGCCACCCAACACGTCCCTGTGCACAGCTGCCCCACCGCACTCCCTGCTCTCGTTCCTCAGCACACCCCACACCCGTGTACCCCACAGTGTGTGTCCTCTCCAGCCCCTGCCCCTTGAGCCCAGCCCCTGCTGCCCTGTGTGTGCTGGCCCTGCTGCTCTGGGGCACGGGGGGACCCTGACTTGTGACCAGGGAGGACACTGGGCAGGGAGGACACTGGGCAGAGCCACGGGATCAGCACTGCTGCAAGCGCTTTGGGAAGACACGAGGGACCACAGTGGTCTGTGGTGAGCCCTGTGTGCTCCAAATGATGAGATGAAGGTGAGGAATGTAGCAAGGGCGAGGAGGATGAGGGTGGTGAGGAAGACAGGAGGGCGAGGGGGCTTGCAGAGCTCGCAGTGGGTTCAGCAGGTGGCGCAGAGCAGCAGTGACAGTTCATACCCGTGTTTCCTCCGTGGCTGAGGTTCTTATCATTTGTGTTTGGGGGAGATTAGCTCGGTCTGGCACCACTACAGAGTGGGGAGGGAGGGCCGGGGGGGCTGATTTTCTGGGAAGCAGCAGCAGCAGCAGCAGCAGCAGCAGCAGCAGGGCAGTGTCTGCTGCATGTGTGTGCATATTATCATTTGTGTTTGGGGGAGATTAGCTCGGTCTGGCACCACTACAGAGTGGGGAGGGAGGGCCGGGGGGGCTGATTTTCTGGGAAGCAGCAGCAGCAGCAGCAACAGGGCAGTGTCTGCTGTATGTGTGTGCGTGGGGAGAGCTGCCAAGGCAGCAGAGCCCCTCAAACTGGTGGCACAAAACCAAACGGGTGTAAATGCACACGAGCACTCTGGGATGTGGGCTGGGATGTGTTTGAGGATGGAGCACAAGCGCTGTGGGCTCACCTGCAGGAGCAGGGGCTGCCACGGTCAGGGACTGCCAGGCCTGTTTGAGAGCAGGCAGGGTCCCTGCCTGCTCCACCTGCCTGCTGCCCGCACCTGGGCACTCAGGCACCTCTCTCCTGCAGGATCTCATCTCCTCCCTCCGGTGTCACAGCACAGAGCAAACCCAGGGCTAGTTTAGTATCTCGTAGCCCACCACCTGTGATCGCTGATTCTGTTAAAATTCAGGCTCCAGAGTCCTGAAACCAGTGTCCCTACACTGGACTGCAGACTTGCCCATCCCATTCCTACCCTGCCCAGGTCCCAGGGGAAGAGCAGACACCTGGGGCAGGTGTGGAGGTTCTTCCCTGGCAGTTGGCTGGGATTTGTGGCTCAGGAGCTTGAGTCCCTGAACAGTCTTTGTGCTTAATGGTCTGCGGTGGACTTTTTTCACTCCATGAATTCTCAGATTGCTTTTGGAGCTCATTCAAGCACTTAGCTCCTGCAGCACCCCTAATAAAGTCCTAAAAAGCCATCTTGATAGGTGGAGACAGGCAGGATTTATCCTACACCCCCATCACCCCCCAGGAATCCTTCAGGGGAATGCAAGGATCACATTTGCCTTGGCCCTGCTCCTTGGAGGGATGCAGGCACAGCTTCATTCCCTGGGTCCTGCCATCAGCTCTATCCTGTGCTGGGGAGGGCTGGAAGCAAGCAGGGCCCTGGGGGACACCCAGGGAGCCCAGGGCTGGTGCTGCCCTTCCTGTACCACATCTGTCACACCCGCAGCCCCTCCCTCCGGCAGGAGCACTGCCACACTCCAGCCCTCCCCAGCCCCCGGCCCCGGCACAAACGGAGGCATTGCTGCAGCAAAAGAATCTTTTTTTATTGATGGCACACAGGCACGGCTGACAGCTCATCTGTACTTCTCAGCCAGCACGCTGGCCACGGCCGACATGAACTTGTCGACGGCAGAGTGCACCTCGGGGCTGTACTCCTTACCCAGGCGGGTAGCCAGCGACACCTGCAAGCACTGCGACAGGAACTGCAAGGGAAAACGGGGCTTAGCACCGCCGCCACAGCCCCGTGTCCCCATCCCGCTCCTGTCCCACACAGCCTTACCCCATCCCCTGCTGTCCCCCCTGATCCCCTCCGCCATCTCCTGTCCTCCATCCCCTGCTGTCCCCCCTGATCCGCCTCCCCCATCTCCTGTCCTCCATCCCCTGCTGTCCCCCCTGATCCCCTCCGCCATCTCCTGTCCTCCATCCCCTGCTGTCCACCCTGATCCCCCTTCGCTATCTCCTGTCCTCCATCCCCTGGCTCCCATCCCGATCCCTGTCCCCCATTCCCTGTCCCTCAGTCTCCATTCCCCATGCTCTGCTCCCTGTCCCCCCATTCTGATCCCTGTCCCCATTCTCCATCCCCATCCCCTGCCTGCCTTGAAGTTGACGGGGTCCACACGCAGGTTGTAGGCGTGCAGGTTGCTGAGCTCAGACAGAGCCTGGCTGAGGTTGTCCAAGTTCTTGATGGCGTTGCTCAGGGCAGCCACCACTTTCTTGCCATGGCCACGGATCTGGTCAGAGCCTTGTGACAGGTCGAAGTGGGGGAAGTAGGTCTTGGTTGGGGGGTAGGAGTGGAACATCCTGTGGGATGGGAGTGGGACGGTCAGTGGTGCTGGCCCCAGCCGGACCCACCACACTGGCCCCTCCGTGGGGCTCCCACCCCCTCGTGCCCCTCTCCCGTGGGTCCCCAGGCCTGTACCTCCACAGGGCATCGGCTCCGATTTCCTCCTCGGCGCCACCCAGCTTTCCCCAGATCTGCTGGATCAGCTTCTTGTCCTCGGCGGTCAGCATGGTGGCGGCTGGAAGAGTGGGCAGGGGTTGGTGGCAGCAGCACAGCAGGGACGCCTCTTATAGCTGCTGGCACCTCCACCCAGCCTTATCTTATCACACGGAGGGGCGAGGGGATGGCCGGGCCCTGGGAGCGGCTGCAGCACTGCCTCGGGGGCCCCAGATGCCTCGGGGGGCCCTGCCCTAAGGAGGCCCCTGGGGGGCCCAGCTGCCTGTCCTGCCCCACTGCACCAGCCCAGCACCACAATGGGGCAGGGGGCAGCACCTCTCCAGGCTGCCTCTTGGACAGCAGCAGACCCAGGCATGTCCCATGGGTGCCACAGCCTTGTCCACCCTGGCTGGCACATCCCCAAACCTGCTGCTGTGATCCATCATTCTCCACGCATGGGCCAGCATCCTCCTTGGCTCTGGGGGTGTTGAGGTAGGTCCCACAAGTGTCCCATGTCCGCTCCAGACTTTGGCACATCCAGCCCCTCTCTGCCCCAAGAGCCCCATGGCCTCTCAGTAGGAACCATGGACAAGGCCTCCCAGAGAAATCCAGGCAGGGAACAACCTCTTCTTTGGGTTCACGTCTTCCCAAAGTCCATCCTGTGATGCTTGTCAGTCTTGGATTCCTTCCCTTCTTCCCACCCCAATGTGTGCTCCTGCCTCTCCCCATAAATGCTGGGAAATCCCTCAGGCCCCATGGTGTCTGCTCATACAATAACAGAATTTTAGAATAATCAAATTATTAATGTTGGAAAAGGATCCTCTTAATGGATCCTCAAGGATCCATTATCATTAATAGGATCCTCCTTAAAGGATCCTATTAATGTTGTCTAGAATCCTCGAGACCAACCATTCCCCCAGCACTGCCAAGGCCAACACTAAACCAGTCCCCAGGAGCCACATCTACACATCTGTTAAATCCCTCCAGGGACTCCACCCCTGCCCTGGACAGCCTGTGCCAGTGCCTGACAAGGCTTTCAGTCAGGAAATGTTTCCTAATATCCAACCTAAGCCTCTCCTGGGACAGCTTGAGGCCATTTCCTCTGACTCTCACATCCTTCTCTCAGCCTCTGTGGGAAGGATTTGGTGCAAACACGGGGTAAGGGACACGCCAGATGCTGACCTAGCACATAAGTCATGGATTTAAACCTCCAGGTTACCTGGCACCAGTGGATGCAGAATGCTTTAAAAGCTGCTGTGGTGACATTTAGATGTTTAGAGCCATCTAAACACATTCCTTGTCCAAACACATTCCCTCAGTGCCATGGATGAGGCAAGGGACTGCCATCTGCAGTGCTGGCTCAGGGTGGCCATCAGAGCAGGCTGAAGGCTTTGCACCCCCTGTTTCATGCCAGAAGTCTCTGGGACAGGAGCTGACTGTGCTTCAGGTTTTCGGCCAAACTGCCCCAGTAAAAGGGTGGCCATCAGAGCAGGCTGAAGGCTTTGCACCCCCTGTTTCATGCCAGAAGTCTCTGGGACAGGAGCTGACATGGTCCTGTGCTTCAGGTTTTTGGCCAAACTGCCCCAGTAAGAGGCTGATGTTCCAGATTTTGTTGAGCAGCATTTGCACAGCATCAAGACTGTCTCTGCTTCTCACTCTGCCCCCACCCAGGGAGCAGATTTTGAGGTGCTGGGGAAGGACACAGCCAGGCAGATAGGCCCAACTAATCAAAGAGGTATTTCATGCCATATAGCACCATGCTCAGCAATCAAAGGGAAAAGAAGGGGTCTGAGGGAGTTTTAGGGGGTTATTTATGTTTTTTGCTCATGAACTGGCTGAACATCAGCCTACCCATGGGATGTGGTGAGTGATTGCCTTTGCATCCCGTTTTGTTTTCTTGCCTGTGCTTCCACTTAAGTCTTTACTTACTAAACAATTATTTCTGTTTGTTTGATCTTGACCCCCAATTTTTCTTGCTTTTATCTTCCTTTGCCCTTCACCTCATCCCATTGTGGGGGGGAGATGAGTGAGGAGCTGGGGTGCAGTGGCTGCACAGTGGGGTTAATTCACAGAAGAAGCACATCAGATACCACATCCCTACCCCATGGAGAGAGGCACAATGAGAGGACAATGCCCTGCATTGCAATGCAGGTTTGGTTCCCAACAGGCTGGGATGGGTTTTGGATAGGTCCTAGCAGGGTAAAAGACTCTTTCCAGGTCAGTCTGGAGAAAGCCTGTGGTGGATACACCTTGGTGAGCAGCTGCAGTCACAGGGCTCCAGCCTGTTCTGGGCTTCTGCTCAATGCTATATTGCTCCCACTGAATGTTATGTTACCCCCACTGAATTGGCACATGACTTAGTATGAGTTCATTAGTATATGAATTAGTACATGAGTTTATGAAGTTTAATATTTCCCCCTCCATATTGTGCAGACATTTCAGAACACCCCTGCCTGAACAGTCAGGAGTGGGCAGAACACACCAAGAGGAAAGCACAGAGACCATAGCTCACATTTGAATTATTTATTGAGTTTTGCAGATGACTGAGCCCTTGCAGCAGGGATTTAAAGAGCTGCCCAGGAAGGGGTGATATCCCAGAGCGTGGCAGCAGGGCTGGGCTGTGGATGGGCCTCCCTCACCCTCTGCTGAGGTCATTTATCTGTACTTCTCCGTCAGAACAGAGGAAACACTGGACAGGAACTTGTCCCACGCAGCATGAACTTCTGGAGTGAAGTCACTGGGGTAGTGGGCAGCCACGGAGCACAGGATACAGTGGGAAAGCAGCTGTAAGGGAAAGCAGCAGGAAATCCATCACAGTGAGTACCAGGTATCAAGGTAGGGGTCTGCAATGGACCTTGGGCCCAGTGTGCTTGGGGATGACAGCTACGTGTCCCAAACAGGCAGTGCTGCTGCCTGAGATGGGAGTGAAGAAGCACAGTTGTCTTTTCTATAGGGCAAAAGGCACTGTTTGATCCCACTCCCTCTCCCATGTGCCCCTTCCTTCCTCAAGTGCAACAAAGTGGGACTGTTTATAATTTATTAAAACTTCGTTCAAGACAGGTGAGTAGCTTGATGTGTGAAGCAGATTAATGAATTACAGCAAATCCAGCAGAGATTTGAGTCTGTCTAACACAAACCACAGGAGCTCCCTGAGGAGTTCTTTGCCTGCACTGGGCCAGAACTTCCATTAGAAGACCCAATCTCAGGTTAAAAACCATATGAGAAACTGTCTGTGCAGCACAGCCAGGGATGGAGCTGCCATTAGCCCACATGCCCTGTGGTCTCTAATTCTGTGGCGGCAGTTTCCAGCCCTGAAAGTCTCTGTGCTCACTCACCTTGAAGTTGACAGGGTCCACCCTGAGGATGTAAGCATGCAGCTCGCTGAGCTTGGCCAAAGCCTTGCGGATGTCATCGATGTGCTTCACAGCCTCCCCGATGGCACTCATGACCTTGGAGCCGTGGCCACGGAGCTGAGCTGAGCCTTGGCTCAGATCAAAGTGAGGGAAGTAGGTTTTTGTCTGGGGGTAGCTGGAGAAAAGCCTGGAGCAGAACATGAGGAAGAGGGTCAGCAGTAGAAATGGTATGAGATGGTAAAACCTCAGAAAAAGTGCAGTGTAAACCTTCTGCAGCACATGCAGATTAGACAGCAGGTTTATATGTATGTACTAGAGAAGAATTGTTAAAAATTATTAAAAATTTAATGTAGTTTTGGGTTTGGTTTTGTTTGGTTTTGTTTCTAATAATAAAAGCCCCAGCCTGTCACTAAATTTCCTGTATTATATTATAACAAAGTTTCCAGGACCTTCAAATGAAAATGAAAAAATAAGAATTTATATGAATGGTACTCAGAATCCTGAAAGGGGGATCACTATACTTTATACTAAGCTGTAAATAGCATTTAAATCACTTTGAATAATAAAAATTTGTGATAATTTCCAGACCCTTTTATTCTTGCTTAATTGGTATGGACTTTGAATTACTGTGCCATGCTTCATGCAGGGGGTCCAGCTGTCTTGTTTCCTAACAGTTTGTTACTTAACAACTGGAACAATGAAACCTGAGCATCCAGTGAATTTAGTGGACAGCTATTCTCTTAATGCATAAAAACTGTAAGAGAAAGTGCATCACTTGTACAATAAACCACTTCAAGTTTATCCCCTGACAGGGATAATGGTGTTTAGGACACTGAGTATGAATGGCTTTGAATTCCTCACCAGTGCTTCTGGCTATGAATTCTTCTATATGGCTATAAGGAGAAAAAAAACCCCTATTAAATTGTTTAAAAAATCATGGTCTACTGCTAGATTGTGAAGCATTTAGTAGCACAGATATAACTCCTGAAGATTACATATCAAACTCTGCATCAAGAGTTGTGCTGTTTGATATGTAATCTTCAGCCTGCTCCCCCAAGTTCTACATGAGATGCATGCCAGCAGCAAAGCCCTCTTTGGAGGCCTGCTGGGGCCTTACCTCTCCAGGGATTCTGCCCCAATGGCATCAGCTTGGGTGGCCACCTTGGCCCAGATGGTGACCACGGCGGCTTTCTCGGCTTGGGTCAGCGTCATTGTGCAGGAGGTGCTGGCTCTGCCCCCTCGCAGCGACTGCTCAGAGCAGGTTTGGGCTCACCAGCCTGGCAGCCCTGGTTATAAAGGGGAAGGGGGAGAGGACCTTGGTGCCTGCCCGCACTCATTGGTCACTCCAGAGGCCCGCTGTGGAGTGGGGGACACTTATCTGCCGAGAAGCAATAGCTACCTTGGCTAGGGTCAGCACACTGTCCTCCTTGCCTGCTGGCCTTATCAGCTTCTTGCTTCTTAACCTGACGGCTGTGTGCTCCAAAGAAATTGTCTGCACAAGTATTGATACATGAACAGAGAGATAATGCTGCAAAATTCCACTGATGAGGCATTAGGACACATCTCTAAGCTGAGGAGCGTGGACTCCAGCACGCTAAGGAACCTGGAGAGGAATCTGCATTTCCTCCCTTGGCTCACAGGTGTGGCTCACAACTTTCTGACCCAGCCACTTCCAGCATTTGTGGCTGCAACATGTGCAATATTTCACATAAAATGCTTTGTAGGTAGTGGTAGGGACAGGCTGGGACATCTGTAGTGCAGTTCAGAGGAGAAATGAAATCCTGATTTTTTAAGAGTAAGTGCAGATTTTGCCATTTGCTTCACGAGTTCACTTTGCCAGCCTCTTGCAAAGAATTAGGGATTCACTTTACAATTGCTGCCTGTGATAACACTGGTAGTAAGGATTACTTTGGATACAGGAATAGAGAGTTTGTGAAATTAAGTATGGTACTGGAAAAAGTGTGTGTGTGAGAAAGCCCAGTCAGATTTCTTTTTTTATAATCCTCAGACTGCACATCTTTGCTAACTGTGTGATGTTACTGTTAGTTGTTGCCTGCACTGTAAAATAGCCCTCAGCACTCCTGTTAGTGCTGGCTGTGCTGTGCTGTGTGCTGGACATGCACAAGAGCTCCTGGTCCCACAGCAGATGGTTGGTACCATCAGGGCACGGGCCCTGGCTGGGTGAAGGACCAAACAAGCAAAACAAAGACCAGCACAGGTCTGTAATCACAGATAAGTGGGCAAAGTGTCAAAGAAATACCCTACTGGAGATGGTTGCTGCAGAACCTCTGGCAGTAAATATCCTGCCAGCACATAAAGCAGAGGTAAATCTCTTTGCCACGCTGATAAACTACAGCAGCCTCAGACATCAGACACCACTGAGAGCTGGCAGCTGTGCAAAGAGCACTGGCTGGTACAGTCAGAGGGGTCAGATAATGTTCTCTGCCCAAGCAGCCCTGCACACTTGTGTGGAGAAGGTTGGTGTGGCTCAGCCAGAGATGTTTCTGCATTTGACAGCAGCACTACCCACGGCCACAGAGGGTGTTCCCCAGCCATGGTCATCCTGCTAATGGAAATCCCTTCTAGGAATAATGGTCCCTGGGTGGTGCATGGACTGGGGCAGCTGTGCCAAAGCACAGGTGTCACACAGGAGCAGGCACTGGAGCCCTCAGGAGCCACAGGGAGCTGTGCTGTGCTGCTGGAAAGGTGCTGGCTTTGAGGTGGCACCTCTGTGTGTGTGTGTATGGCAGGGATCTCTTCTGTGCTGTCACATGGGCATAGGTCTCTCCTCTCTGGGTAGACTCCATAGCCTGGAGGAGTTGATCCATACACTACAAAGAGACACCACTCTCCTGGGGCTGTGCCCCTGTCACTGCATCCTGGGCTCAGCTGGGAATGAGCCAGTGGTAGGGTCAGAACCAGGGATGGGGTCAGACAGTGGCTTCTGCATCCTCTGGTGTCCCCACTTTGCTGGGGCCAGTGGCACTTGCAGAAGGACTCTGACCCACCCCTGTACTCTGCACTGGCTCTAATTTAAGCTTCTCTGCATGCCATCTGTCACACAAATTAGAAAAACCTTGGGCTTTCCCAAAAGGCAGGCACAAAGCACTTGGGGCCTCTGAGTCTGCAAGCCTGGCTGGGTTTGGGGATCTTGAATTATCATCCCCTCTGTGGAGGCCAACAACTCCTCTGGGATTTAATTTCAGATTGTGTTCAGTGCCACAGCTCCTCCTCAGTCCTCCTGACCATGGGCTGGGTAATTCACTCACTTTAACAGGGGATATAAAAGTGGACTCATCTGAGACACAAGGAGGACAATTGGTTTACCACAGGGAATATTATCAGAGGACTCTTTGTATACCTTCCCCTTGACAGTGCCATACACATCCCCTGAAAACCCAGAGCTCATTCTGGCTACACAGGTGCAGAGCAGTGCAGTCTGCAGTTCAAAGTGCCACTGACAGCACAGGCAGAGCCAGGCAAGGACAGCATGGTATTCAGTTTTACAGCTTGAATGGATGGCAGTACCAGGAGAGGCTGTATTCATCACCCCTTGCTACACACATTTCCAAAACCTGCAGTCTTCCCATAGAAAATTTACTTTGAAAATATAGATGCTGTTGTGAAATATCCATTTACATAATGTTTTTGTCTCCTCCCCAAAGTGCTGCCTCTTATATGTTGCATGGCAGTGCTCCAAGCTCTCCTCAGTGAGAGTGCTTTTAATCAGGGGTTACTCAACCAAGCTGTGACCCAGATAAACACAGGGATAAGGCACAGACCATCAGGACTCCTTCCTATTCTGTGTAACCTGGGCATTGCTCCTCTGTGACTGCAGGATTAAGGTTTGTGTGCACACAGAGTGATGTCTGCACAGGAGGATTCATCATCACTGAAATCATTGTGGAATTATTTGAATTAATTTTCTGAGAGTTACTACTGCGCTATCTCAAATGCCAGAGCAGCCAAAATGTGACAGTGGTTTGCTAGAAGGAGCTCACTGCTCACTCAGGATCAGGGCTGTGCTGGGGATTGCTGCTTGGAGAAATCTGCTCCTCAACACAACGTGACATGGAAAATGACCCAGCTTTGCATGAACCTCTCAGCCAAATTCTTCATCCCAGAGCTCCAGCCACCCATGGGCTCCTGGCCTCAGGAATGCAAGGAGCTGGACAACACGATTGCTGCTGTTCCTGTCACAGGGCCACTAGTGAAGATGTCTTCTGGGAAACCCCATCACACCTGCCTTCCTCTCCTGCTGCTGCTTCTCATGATGATCCACAGATCCACTGCAGAATGTCAACCTTTGGGCAGGTCATGAATCTTTGTCAGGAAATCACCAAAGGGGATTTTTTTAAAAATTAATGTAGGTCTTTTTAAATCCAAAATCGGTTTGAAAAGCTGGCTACCAGAGTTTCTAATTTTAAACAGCAGAAGCAAGCAACAGACTTATTAGCTAATTGTAAAAGTGGGATTCTAATTTCCAACAGCCCTGATTGTAAATCCAATTGAATGGCATCACTGTGAGATCAGGGATAACTTTCCCCATGGGCCTGTATTATCCACAGGAATTGCCTTCCCCTCAAGGAGAATACTGTGGGTAAGGGGGGACATATATGTGCTCTAACTCTGAAATATTTGAGGCATAGTACATTTTGGAAGTCTGAAAAGTGGAGTCTATATCCTGGCTTTACTCTTTCATTTCCTACCAGGGCTTGAAGAACTTGCAATCATTGCTTTAAATGACAAGGCTAACTACAACTAAATGTCCAAGAGCTGGGAATGACAGATAGGCCTATAATTTATTATTTGAGAAAGTAAAATTATATTTTGAAGCAGGCACACTGAAATTTTAACATGACAGCCCAGTGCTGGTGTACAAGGAGTGCTCTGCTGTGATAACACGACTGGTCTTTAATCACCCCAGGACAACTCTCTCCCCTCAGCATTGCCTTCTCTTGCTCAATTGTTATCACTGGCCTTGTGCAGAATGGCCCTGCAGATTATACCCTGCTGGGGCTGCTCATCTCCCTCTTCAGCCACCCACCTCTGTCCTGTGTCCCTGGGGGGACTGCAGAGCAAAACCCAGAGTGGGGATATCTCAGAGTGTCCAAGCATCTAAGCAATACAATGAAATACAGAAGAATTTGCTTAAAACCCCAGGGCATCCTCACATAGAATTGCTGATAACTTCTGATTTTGGTTAAACACAAAAAAAAAAAAAAGAAAAAAAAAGAAGGCACCAAGACTGCTGCCAGGGGAGTAACGTCACCCTTCCTAATCCAGAGGCAGGAGTAAAAGCACAGGAACCATGAGGCAGGGTGTATCAGAGTTGTGAACATGAGCAACAAGCCCAAGCCAGCTTTTCCATGAGCACGGGGAGCCCACAGGTCTGACTTCCACAGCTGCCCCCCTGCAGGCACCCTGGTGTCACAGAACCATTTTAAGGTTGGAAAAGCCCTCTGCAATCATTCATCTGCAATACTGACATGCTGGATTTGTCAGCTCTGATGGAAGCAATCTACTGCCAGATGGTGGAAGAATGGAGAGGGACTGGAAGGGAAGACAGAGGGATTCTCCACCTGCAAATCCACCCTCAGTGGCACCCAGGCTGGTGCAGGGAGGGTGGAGATGAACATTCAGCTCCTACATCCCATCTTTTGTCCATAGCAAACCCAGGAGACGTCACCAGTTCCTCTCCCACTAGGGAAAAAGCATTCATGGCCTCATTCCAACCCACAACAAATCACCTTTGTTCTCCCAATTAATTTACCCTTCTGCTCAGTGTGCAGCACATGTGTAATTAGCTCCAGAAAGGCAGATATGTTATTTCAAAAAACTGTTTGAAATGTCCCAAAGAGGCATTGCAACAGGCTTTACCCCGTGTTCCTTTATTTCCATTCCCACTCTAATTCCCAATGAGCCTCCTTATTTAATACTGTTTTATGGAGCTCTTCTTTTCTTCCCTTTTGCTACTAGAAAGTTGATGATGTGGAAAAAAAAAAAGAGGGAAAGTGTCATGAGAAGAGTCATGGCAGAGTGAGCGCACTTTGAGAAATCCCTATTCACACACACACTTCAAGGTGTTAGGTTAAACCAGCACTGTCAAACCACCACTAAACCATGTCCCAAAGTGCCACACCCACATGTTTTTTGAAGTCTTCCAGGGGCTGTGATTCCGTGGGGGCAGTTCCAGTGCCTGTCCACTCTTCCATGAGGATGATAACCCAAGGGGGTCTGGGCATGGGGGACATGATGAACCATCACTGCTCTTTGTTACCAGCTCTCAGAAAAGTTCTGGAATTAATGACTGAACTGTGTGAAAGCCCACAAAGTGGCCAAATAACAGCATTGTGTGCTCAAGGATCCAGCAGCCCCCGTGGAGGGATCTGGGGCTGGGGCCACCATGCCCTGTCTGGGTACGGGGCTGAACTGGGGGTACTGGGCCATGCTGGGGCCACTGGGCTGAGCTGGAAGGTGCTGGCTGCAGGCATGTGAAGCACTGGAATAAACTGGGAGGGTGTGGAACAGGGAGTGGTGTCCATGGGACACTGGGATGATTGAGAGAATGTAAGTGTCAGGTGCTGGTTTGAACTGGGAGCACTGGGCTGTACTGGGAACAGGGCTGTTTTTGAATTGGTGCTCTGAACTGGGGGCACTGGGCTGTACTGGGAACAGGGCAGTGTGTGAATTGGTGCTCTGAACTGGGGGCACTGGGCTGTACTGGGAACAGGGCTGTTTTTGAATTGGTGCTCTGAACTGGGGGCACTGGGCTGTACTGGGAGCAGGGCTGTGTGTGAATTGGTGCTCTGAACTGGGGGCACTGGGCTGTACTGGGAACAGGGCTGTGTGTGAGGTGCTGGTCATAACTGGGGATGTGGCTGTGGGTATGAACCCGCAGAGGTGCTGGTGTGAACTGGGAGCACTGGGCTGTACTGGGAACGAGCTGTGTGGCCGTGAGATGCCGGTCAGAAGCGGGGGCACTTGCCTGTATTGGGGATGGGGCTGTGTGTGATGTGCTGGTCTGAACTGGGAGCACTGGGCCGTACTGGGGATGGGGCTGCTGTGAGGTGCTCGTCTGAACTGGGAGCACTGGGATGTACTGGGAACGGGCCGTGGAGGTACGAGATGCTGGTCAGAACTGGGGGCATTGGGATGTACTGGGCACGGGCCGTGGGGCGGAGGCCCCGGGCACAGCGGCCCCGGCACAGCGGCCCCGGCACAGCGGGCCCGGTACAGCGGGCCCGGGCAAAGCGGCCCCGGTACAGCGGTCCCGCCGGTGCCGGTAGCGGCGGCCGCACCGTGTGCCGGCGGAAGCGGAAGGCGCAGCGGCCGGGCCCTTCCTGCGGGAAGCCCGAGCCGGCATGGGCGAGAGCACCAGCCCCATCAGCGTGATCCTGGTGAGCTCGGGCAGCCGCGGCAACAAGCTGCTGTTCCGCTTCCCGTTCCAGCGCGGCGCCGAGCACCCCGCCGCGCAGGACAGTAAGTGCCGACGCCGGGAGCTGCGGCTGCCCCGCGCCCGCCGCAGCCTCCGCCGGGGCCTGGCATCCTCCCGTGGGGGGCTGGTACCCCGCACGGACCCCTCACACCCCCCGTGTGGGCCCGGAGCCCCCCTCACGTCCTTCACATTGCCCATGAGGGCCTGGCACCTCTCACCTGGCACTCCGCACCCCTCACACTGTGTGTGGGTATCTGTCATCCCCCCCACATCCCTCACACTGTGTGTTGGTATCTGTCATCCCCGGTATCTGTCATCCCCCTCACACACTCTGTGGGTACCTGTCATCCCTCCCACATCCCTCACACTGTCTCTGGGTACCCCTGATGCGCCCCACACTCCTCATACCCTTTGTGGGTACCTGTCATCCCCCACACACTGTCTGTGGGTACCTGTCATCCCCCACACACTGTCTATGGGTACCTGTCATCCCCCACACCCCTCATACCCTCTGTGGGTACCTGTCACCCCCCTCACACCTTTCACACTGTCCGTGGGTATCTGTCATCCCCCCCACATCCCTCACACTGTCTGTGGGTATCTATCATCCCCCTCACACCCTTCACACTGTCTGTGGGTACCTGTCATCCCCCTCATACTGTCTATGGGTACCTGTCATCCCCCACACCCCTCATACCCTCTGTGGGTACCTGTCGCCCCCCTCACACCCTTCACACTGTCTGTGGGTATCTGTCATCCCCCACACACCCCTCATACCCTCTGTGGGTACCTGTCATTCTCCTCACACATTCGTGGGTACCTGTAATCCCCCTCACACCCCTCACACCCTCTGTGGGTACCTGTAGTCCCTCACACCCCTCATACCCTCTGTGGGTACCGGGCTCCCCTCACTCCCCCTGTCCACGAGGACCTGGCACCCCTCACAGCTCCCCATGGGACTCTGCACCTCTCAGCCCTTGCCCTGCAGTGCCCTCACTGCCCCCAGGTGCCCTGGGACCCCTCTCGTCCATCAATTGATCCACATTAGTGCCAGTGTCACTGCCCACCTGGTGCCTTACCTCTGTCCCCAGGACAGGTGAATTCCGTGGGTTTTGGGAGCTGCAGGGGAAGGAGGAGGCAGGAGGAGAAGGAAGGCACTGATTTGGAAGTGATTCAGTAAACACTATAAGCTTTAACAATAATAGGAATTACAAAATTTTAGTCTGTGTTCTTGAATTAGTGTGCTGGAAGAGGTTTAGTTTTGCTGGAAAACAGGAGGATGGAACTATTCAGGTGCAGTGCTGGCACGTCCTTGAGGCATGTGATTTGGGACAGTGCCTGGACTGGGACCAGTACCAGTGCAGGGCCTAAAGGTGCTGCGGGGTGATGGAGCTGTGTGATCTGGGTTGTGTGCTAGTGGCTGTGTGCTGGGAGAAGTTTAACTCCTCTGCTGAGGTTGTGAGTCAGTTTATGAAGAGAGATTCATCTCTAATTACCTTTCTACTTTTATAGGTGAGACATGAAGAGTTGTTTATTTTGCTGACTGTTTCCCTACCACCCCCCCATCCTGCTTTTTGTTGATAAAGGTTTTCCCTCTCTATGATTGTGGGAGCATTGTAAAATAAAAAACCAAAACTGAACAATAAAGCGGGAAATCGCATTGGTCAGACTTTTCACTCTTGAATTGTAAACTGTTACCTGTGTTTTCCCTGCCACCCCCCTCCTGCTTTTTGTTGATAAAGGTTTTCCCTCTCTATGACTGTGGGAGCATTGTAAAATAAAAAAAAAACAAAAAAAACCAACAAAAACTGAGCAATAAGGTGGGAAATTGCATTGGTCAGACTTTTACTTTTCACTCTTGAACTGCAAACTGTTACCTGTGCCAGTTTCTGTGAATGTTTCACTTTCTCCTCTTCATCCCCTGAAGGATAAAAATGTTTCCCTATTTTTTTAACGTTTCTGTGAATGTTTCACTTTCTCCTCTTCATCCCCTGAAGGATAAATTTTTTCTCCTATTTTTTTTTAAATTTTCTTTTGAGTGAGAATAGAAAAACATACAAACACCCATTAAGCAGATGGTTCCTAGGTAAATTTATCTTTATTCTTTGCTTCAGACAAGCCAAGGAGTCGATATGCTGTGAATGGCTCTGGTGACACCACAGAAGATCAAGATGGGGACTCCAGGTAGGAGGGAAAACATTTATTCTGCCTAAGAGGTTGAAATGTAGGAGAGACAGCCTCCTGCTCTCCTGCCTCCTAGTTCCTAGGCACATTCTCTTGGACTCTATAGAAGACAACCTGCCAAAAAATGCTTTAATATCAAGTTTTGAGCAACTTAGTGCTTAGTGAAGAGGACTGTCTCACCAGGGAATGCTGCTGAATCTGTTGTTTCCTGGGCAAGGTCAGCTATTCTGTGCTCATTAGAAAGGCAATATTGCCCTTTCAAAACTAGGAGTATTAATCCTCTGGCAAAATCCGACTTTTCTTTACCTGCCTACTCCTAACTGGATATATTTTTCAGTTGCCTCAACTTCTTCCCTAGCTCATATAATGGTCTATTGGAATTGCTGTGCACTAATGAATAACTAATTTTGTTTCTCCAGACAGAGCTGCTGTTGTGTCAGTGGAGTGACACAGTGGCTCAAAAGGAAACTGAGACTTCAAGAGAGTTTTTTAAGTACAGGAAATCAGAGGGTAACAAACGCACTGAAAATAGGCAGTGTGGTGTTCAGCATGTGTGTATGTGTGGATGGACCCTCTAATTGGTTTTGCTGAACATTTGAAATCTGCTGCATAGTTCTAAATTTATCACTACTAGATAGGAGAGAAATCTGGGAGAGAAAAAGTTTGTCTGTTGGCCCATAGTTCACTTGCAGATATTTTTTCTGATATGTATTTTAATCTCCAGTATTAATAAAAAAGAGGTAGCTGCTGCTCTTCTCTTTTATAAGAATACTAAGGAAGTAATCATCACTTTATAAATGTAAGATTGTTGTTGACTTTATGACAGAGAATGGTTTAGCTGAAATTAAAATCACCCACATGACTGTAAGCATCATCAGTTAATTTTGTTTTCCAGGACTGGGATCTTATGAAAACACATTTTGCTTGCAGTAATTTGTATCTCCTGCCTCTTCTGATGCCTTTGAAACCTTCAAACACAACCTTTGGTTGTGTGTCCAGTGAGTGCAGTGCGGACAGGGCACAGCTGCAGGGGGAGCAAACCATTTGTGTGTTTGGGAACTGGTTTGGCTTTTCAGCTGGGCTGTGGATGGCAGGAGGGTCCAGGGGTTTTGTTGGTGGCTGTTCAGACTCCTGAATTTCCCTAGGTAGACAAGGAAGGTGTTGGAATGATACCAGCTGCTGTCTGACACTGATTCTTGTTGCCTCTGCTGTTTAGGCAAGTTGGACAAAGCAGTTAATGTGGCTGTGTTTACTGTATGTTGCCTGTGTTGCTAAATTAATGTGAGATAATATGTGGTTACTGCAATTATGTAGGAAAAGCTTTTATCATTTCAAATGATGGTCAGGTGAGAAAACTGCTGGTGTTTTCCTGAAACACATTTTTAAATTGAATGTGCTGGCATATAACCCTCACTAAACAAATATTTAGATTGCTGCATTGTACTGATGTCCAGAACACTGGGCATGAAAGTTCATGCTTAATCTCCTGGGCAGGTATTTCTTACTAATAAAAGAATTTTTTTTCAGATCTGTCTGTATCTCCCATGCATATAAAAAGGGAAATAGAAGAGCAGCAGGATTTCTGTTGCTCTGAAAGTTTATTTCTTCTAGGTGCTCGATATTGGAGTCTAGCACACTGCTGGTTCTGCTTATATGGCTGGACATCTTCTTTCTGAAATTCAAAGGCCCTTTCAAAATTGTGTTTGTTTCCAGTTTGATTACAGAAAGCTTTTTCCCAGCAGCAGTGTAATCATCACTTTTAAGTCCCCTGCATCCCATACAACTGATGTAGCAGTTAAATGTGTCCTCTTCAGTGGTACCTGCTAGTAGAAGAATGTGCTGATGCATTTATATACTGAGTGCTTTTAATTTAAATTAAACAAGAGGAGCTTTTTGGCAAAGTTTGTATTTTTCACTGACTGATGAGGTGGGAAAAATATGCAAATTTTAAGTACACAGATGCTTTCTCCAGCGGAAGACAAAAAGGCATCTTCAAAACTGTGCAATGGATTGCTCCAACTTTGATTTGTATCAGGCAATTTTAGGAGTAACAGAGGTTGGTGCCTTGGAATAGAAGAGATTCCAAGGGGAGAGTGGAGGCAGAAAAGTGCAGATCCCCTGGTGGGAGGGAGATGCACCTGCTTGTAAGCTGGGAAAGGAAGGAAGTTTTATTTTCATATGCCATGAAACCAATATCATCATTGATTTTTTCCTCACCAACACTATGAATTTTTGCTTCAGTTTGTGTGTTTCCATTGAAGATCAGGTTGTAGAGACCAGGAATGGGGCAACTGGTTTTGTGAGAGCCATTCCTTCAGTGGCAGCTCCAGCCCTGTAAGATCTTTCTTCTGCAGTGCAGCAGTTCCCTTCCTGGGAGAGAGTTCATCAGCATGAAGTCCCGTATGTTTGCTGGTGGTGATAATTTTCTGTCTGAAATTGTCCACAATAAAAGTAATTTATGAGGTGGTTTTGTATTATTTTTGGAAGACTTCATCAAGGAAGGGTTGGAAAAAGGTTCCTTTCAATCCCTGCATGTCAGGAACACCCATGGGTGTTTTTAGTGGCACAAAGCAAGGCTGTGGAGTGGGCAGACTGCTGGCTTGAGTTGGTGGTGTATGGCAAGTTTGATAATGTTGTGGGGTTGGGGTTTTCCCACTGCATGCTCAGTATAAAGGCTATTTCAGATTTATCTTGTAGCTGCAATAGTTCCTAAGAGGGTTGAAGTCATCCTTTTTTATACTGGATGCTGTGTTTAATTTATTAGTAATCTAGCACCAGTTGTGTTCTAGGTAAGATTTACTGTTGATTTTTCCCTATAGCTATTGGCACCCAGATCAATTACTTTGGAACTCACCTTTCCTAGAGTAGTTGAGGTGCATGTATTTCTTAATGCTGTCAGGAGGGACAAAATTAGATCAGTTTGGGTGCCTTAACTCCATTTCCATGTAGCATATTTGTATAGATAATTGGATTGGAAATTGGATTTCTTTTAGCCTCCAGGCTCAATTTCCTGATCATTGTTATGCTTTTTGGTTTTTTCATAGACAATGGCAGCCTATTCATGATAATCCTTCCTCCAGGTTACTGGGGTGTGTTTGCTTGTATTAATTTCTGCTCCATGGAGCTGTGTTTGGGTCTTCAGAATACATATTTTATTTCCTGCTGAAAGCAAGTTGAGCAGCAAAAGTGTTTGAGGTGTGTTGATGGTGGCCATGCAACAAAAAGGTATTCAGAAGACTGTCACTGTCAAAACAAATTGCTTGTCAAGTGTCTCTCTTTGTTGGCTTCTTCTCAGCCTTTCATCATTTGCACTTTTCAAAAACATCCTTCAGTTTCTGAGTGTTTTACCAGGAATACACCCCCTCCCAATGTTTATGGAGATGCCTGCCAGTCTTCTTTCTTTCCCCTGAAAAAATGTGGGGCAATTACTCCTCTGAAGCCATAAAATAATGCTATGTTAAATTGGTTTGAAATAGTTTTTTTGTAGTTTTTCTGAAGGTGGTATAGCCAGCAAGCAAATATTCTAATGGGGAGGCACATATAGTAACATATGTTACAGCAGATCTTGCATTTTTAGTAGCAGAGCTGACTAAATGAAGGAGTTTTAGCAAATTTAGCAAACACTTCTGTTATAAAGCCCCAAGTTACTGACAAACAAGGGTTTGAATGTCCCTTTCTAACAAACAGTAGCTCTCCTGTGATAACATTTGTTTCCTCTGTCCCTCTTTCACTGGACTCCAGTGTTCTTCCTTGTATTTGTTCTGAAAGGCTTCCTTTCTGTAAGCCTGTGCTTTTCCATTCATGCACCCATTCCTTGAAACACCCTTCCTGTAATGTCACCCCATTGTTTAGTTTGTCATTTAGGCTCTCTAGGTTCTCTTTTCATCGTCACTGGCAGAAATCTGCTGTGTTTTGTGTTAGGTAATTGTTGGAGGTTTTCAGTTTGCCTCCCCTTTCTCATGTGGGTTAGTAGAAAGCTTTTATCAGATTCATTTTTCAGTACATTTTATGAAGTTGTTTCAGGAAACAAGTCCTTTTTTAATCTTAATTGGGGGGAACAGTGGCAGTTGGATGTTAAAATGGAAACAGGTGTATCTGATGTAAAAGTGAGTACAGGTGCTCACTCAGTCCTGCTCTGTACCCCTCTTGTAAAGAAGGGTTTAGGATTCTTTGCCTTGAAAGCTTTTTCAATCTCCTATTCCTATGTTGTGCTTATTGCCTGGGGCATTTGCCTTGAAAGCTTTTTCAATCTCCTATTCCTATGTTGTGCCTATTGCCTGGGGCACAGAGAGGGGCAGAGAAGGATTTCAGTGTGCTGTGAGTCTGGCCAGCCTTGTGCCTGCCGTGAGGATCCCTGCAGGGGCAGTGGTGGCTGTGTGTGCCAGGCCCTTCACAGAATCCTGCAACAACAAACACTTGGCATCCTCTTTTCCTAAGTCTTGTGGGTATGGAAGCACTAGAACCAGCTGGGAAGAGCTGGGGGTTGTTTGGGGCTGCATGGGAGGTTCTTTGGTGGAAATGATAGCAATAGTCTAGGAAACTGAGGTTTAGAATGTGTCTAAATCAGGCTGCAACCTCTTCTGTTTCTCTTAACAGAAGGTTAAGAGAAGGTTTCTCTTAAGGTAAGCATGAATTAAAAAGTGCCATGGAAATCAGCTCCATAAATGCTGTGTACTGTGGGAAAAGACATGGCAGCAGCCACTGCTAGTGCAAGGACTAAATTACCTTAGCCTGTTTTCTCCACGTTGTCAAACAGCCTGCAATATGTCCCTGGAATTCCCCTTCCATTAACTTTAGATTCTTCTCAACAGTTATATTTCCTTTACAGCAGTTTAACCCTTAATAGTTCATCCTTGTTTTTAATATTATCTCTTTTTTTTTCTCTTTTGTATTTTGTGTACTTGCCTCGTTTATTTTCTTTTGTTGTGTTTTGTTTTGTGTTTATGGCCATGTTCCCATTTCAGAGACCAATGTCCTCTAACTGATGAGCAATTGGTTTCAGGGTAAGACCAAACATTCTAAACAATCACCTTTGTCTAGAATGGCTTTCTTTTCTCACCATCCTTTTAATTGTGCTTTTGTTTCTGGTTTCTGTTTTACACTGAATGATGAGAAAATCAAATGCTAAATCACAGTGTCTGTAGGAAATGTATTGCTAAAGGTTTGTGCCAGGATAATTACCAAGGTCCTACTAACATTTCTGTGCTTCCTGTAGGGAATCCCGGATGGGTGTGGCACTGTCCCTTCTGTGGATTGGGAAAAGCTGGGAGGCTCTGGGAATGCAGCAAGTATAGCCTTGGCATTGTAGTTATTCCAACAGGGAGCACTAAATCAAATTGTTTTCTGAGGAGAAATGGCTTGAAAGTACAGATCAGTGAGTAATTATTTAATCCCAGGGTAATGATGGAGAGCTCTTTAGAAGACCCAGGTTTGAACAGCTGTGTTGTTTGCTTGTTCTTGGTGCCCCACTCAGCTGAATGGGATGGTTACAAACATAGAGGGAAAAGTGCTTAACTCAGGGCCCCAGAAGGAAAAAAAATGCATCTGTAGTCCCTGCTTAACATAAACCTCACCTACATACTCAGATCCTGTTCTGAAATACTTCAAAGAAAAATTCTTAATAAAAGCCTTGCTCTGAATTCCTGTGGCATATAAAAAGTTACAATCTATTCTTGGGGGAAAAATGAATTCATGTTTGAATCTTCCCCCCTTCTTTTCAATGTGCTGCTGCTGTGTTGTGCTCTGGAGAGGAGTGGTAGAATATTTTGGACAAATCAAAGCTTTTGTTTATTGTACATTCTTTCTGCCTGCTGAATTCCTTAGTACAGAAGAGGTTTCATTCCCCCTGGAATTCACAATGTTCAGACTAATCTCATAAAAGGAGAAGGGTTACTGCCCAACTGCAAAACCTAATCTGCTTTTAACAAACTCTTGGGCTCTGAGAAGTCAGTGTTTTTAGGTCATCTTAACATACCCCAAAGATGGGAAAATGTGTGTTGAAATAAAGTAAAAGTGTTATTTTCTAAGATGAGGTGACTAATTGAAGTAATGGGAATAACACATCTGCTGTTTCTCAATTTCCCTATTGTCCTGAGGCCTAAGAAATGTCAAAATTATGTAGAGCACTGGGGGTTAAAAAAACCCAGCCAGCAAAACTATAAATCCAGGCTGTCAGAGGAGGAGAATGGGGCTGGAGTCCAGGTGACTCTTGGGAGAGCCTGTGGTGATAGGAGGTGCACCTGTGTCAGGATTCTGTCCCTGAGCTTGTCCTCTGGCTGCAACTCAGTACTCTCTCAGACACAGAACACCCTGGTACTGAGAAGATCCTGAGCATTTTCCAAAATCAGCCTTTTAATCTCTTCCTCCCCAAAGAGCCACATGCGAGGTAGGGCAGATGGGGCTGTTGGTATCAAGAGCTCCCCTGGGAAACTGCTGAATTCCTACCTTTAGCACCACATTTATCTGTTAAAGGATCTGCTGGTGTATTCCTTGTAGAAGTTATCAGAATGATCAGTTTATCAGCTCCCAGTATCCTTTGCCAAGGCTGGAGGAGGGAAGGGTAACTAATTTCCTACCAGGAAGCCGACATTTTCTAGTTTGCCCTCCTTCTCTCTTCACCCCCCAAAACATATGCTCCTTTTGGATCCACTGCTGTTCCCATCTTCCTGGCTCCATGATGAGCCTATTAATGAGCTGCTGAACAGGGCAAAAAGAGGAGGAGAAGCTCACTGCTGTCATAGTGACTTTTTTTTTTCTATTTTGAATGTGACCTCCAGGGACTGTCAGTCCAGGTCCTGTTCCAGCACTTTGCCCTTTCCTCCCAGACTTCCCAAGTTGTGCAGCCCAGTGGCTGAGGAGCATGGGCTCAGTGGCCCCAGGAATCTCTGGCTAGTCTCTGCTTGCCCTGAGCTTGGAGTTGGGAGCAGAGCAGCCAGGAATTTAGAAGTTTGTACACAGCTGCTCCTTCCACAAACCAAACTAAGCAGCATGCGTGGTCAGAGTGACCTGTTTGTACAAGCACCAGGGGCTTTGGCAGTTTGGACCTGTGTGGTCCTTCATCTCCAGTATTTGTAAATAAAAGGAATTCCCCCTGTGTTCTTGAGTGCATTTGTCTTAATTTCTGTAGTACTCCATGACTCAGAGGGAAGCAGGACTAAGGTACATTAATTGCTTCTCTGGGCATGGAGGGCTCACTTGTGGCCAAGAGATAAGGTGAGCCCGGCACACACCCATGCCTGCCCTCCTCTCTGAGTGATACTGGGTTATCTGGGATACCTGCCTGCTCTAGGGGGATGGTCTGGCAGGGACACATATCCCTGGGTGTAAATACACAAAATGAAATAAACATTTTCATTCTTAAAAACCAACTCTCATCAGAAAGTGGTCTGAAATTCATTTGGTCAAGTTGGAGCTTCTGTAAAACAGATGAGGAGAGAACTTGTTAATAACAAGCCTTGCACTGCTCCTGTTTTAGAGCAACAAGTTTACTCTAGCAGCTGAGGTCCTCTTCCCTGTGGGTTTGGGCTTCACTGTCCTAGGGGACACCTTTAGGAAAACAAGTGTTGGTAGAGACCAGACCAGTGCTCTGAGGCCATTGCAGAGGGCAGCTGTGCAATTGCTCCCTTGATTTTTAGCTGGTTTTGCAGCAGTGGCTGTGTTTCATGGGGCAGACCCCTGGTGGATATTTGCCCTCCTGTCTCAGAGCTGCTGCCTTGCCCTCACCAATCCAGAGCAATTCAGTAACCCCATGGCTGGCATTGGGAAGGGTCTGGCCTGCCATGAATGTGATTTATCAAATGAGAAAGCCCAGGTGAGGCCAGGCAGCTCTTGGAAGGTGCCAGTGGTCTGCTGGGCACAGGTTGAGATCTGTTAAATGAGGAACTTGGAATGTCACTGATGAGCTTTGGGAAAGGAAGGACAAGCATTGGCTGTGTTTCTTTTAATTGGATCAGCTCTTTCTTGCCTTCCCCTCTGCCATAGTGGGTGGCTTAAAGATCTCTGTTGTGCTTGAGTGACAGGCTGTGTCAATATGTAGTTGCTTAGTAAGTTCATTAACCTGCAGCTAAATCCAGGCAATGGCTAACTCCAGCTCTTTTTATATTTAAGCAAACCGCATCTAATCTTTTCAATGTATTTTGCTGAGCATGTAATTAAATGAGCATGACCCTGCAGTCTTTGTTGTGAACGCTTCCTGTTTTATAATTATGATGATCTGAGGGATGTAATTTAGGGGTCCTTAATTTTACATAATTGGTGGTACTCCAGGTACAGCAATCTAGTCACAATTTACAATGCCTTAAAAACTTTGGAGTTAAATGTACCTGAATTTGGAGGAATATTTTGGGGGTGTGCTTTTTGAAAACTGTAATAACTTCTGTTTCTGCTCTTTAAGGTTTTCAGATGTCATCCTGGCTACAATTTTGGCTACCAAGTCAGATATGTGTGGCAAAAAGTTTGAATTGAAGATCGATAATGTTCGCTTTGTTGGCCATCCCACCTTGCTCCAGCATGCCCTTGGGCAGGTAGGTATGAGATCCCCTCTGGGGACCTGCCTTCTTCACAAACTGCCTGGCTTTACTGAGGAAACCTGCAATTCAGAGTGGGTATGTTGGCTTTTGATCCTGGTTTTACTTCCTGATGCTCCAAGCTGTCTTTTACTTACTTCTGGGTCAGTGGAGTGAGTGGCGAACTGAGGGAGCTCTCAGTGATCACAGAAACTCTTCTGGTTACTGTAGGGAAGCAGTGTGAGTAAAAAGAAGTAAAACTGGGCACTCCAACTCAAAAAGCTGTTTCTCACTATTTTAGTTACTGCAAGTTAGCTTTTAGCACCTCTAATTAGTGTGGCAGTTAAAAAAACACCACCAAAAACCTTCACAAATGCTAAAAGCTGCGTCAGCCTTGTTTGGCTTTTAACTTTTCCTGAGGCTGAAGATGATCCACAAGACTTAGATGGAATATGTAGAATGTTGAAAGAAATCTAGAATTTTCTTGTGGACCAAGTCAGGCTGCTGTTTGCATTGAGACCTTTCTCCGTGGCCTCTGTTTTAGGTGCTTAGAATGAGAGCAGTTTGCTGTCTGGGCTATGTAAAAGGCCCTGCTTAAATCCAGGAAAGAATTCACTTGCTTCTGTGTTTCTAATATTCCCTGTCCTGTTCCTTCTTCCTGCTCAACTGTTGGAATGAACTAAAGGTTTTGGTAACTTCTGAATCCAACACTGATCCCTGTCACTGAACTGCTTTGGTCTCATTTTTCATCAAATTTGCTAAGTCATTCCTTTTTTCAGGGGAAAAAGAAGTCTGCTTGCCAATTCTGTCCTGCTTGTTAGCTATAATTAGAGGTGGAAACAGCTTGTTGGTAACTGCTGCATGATATTTAGAGGACCAGACTGCTTTAATCCCAGCAAGGAGCTGGTCTAAAACATGAAAAGATGCTACTTTGGGAACTCAGTTGTGAGTCTGCAGGAAATGTCCTGGAGTATCACCAAGACTCAGTCTTGAAAGGTTAAACTCTCATGGAAGACAGGATTCAAGTGTGCCCAAGCTGTGCAAATCCATCAGCAGCCCCAGGCAAGGCAAGTGGGGAACCAGGCCCAGGGTCTGTACTGGGACCCCAGCCAGGAGCAGAAGGGGACAGGACAAGGGTGGGATGTACCTAACCAGGGGTCTGTCCAGGAGACAGGCACAGATCCAAGGTCCATCCTGCACTCAGGCACAGCTCCAGGCCCTGAGCTGAGCTTAAATGGGGCTCCCAGTCATGGACTCTTGGAGGGAGTTGTGTGTGGGAACAGGTCCTGGCCAGGGCCATTAAGGCCTTTTGGTGCCCTCAAGGCTCTGACAGCAGTGGCCTGTTCTCCCTCAGATCATTTTTCTTTCTTTTATTTATCTCATCTGAAAGGTTCAACTTCCTAAATGTGCTGTAAACAAGGTTGAAAATTTGTATTTACATTTTTTGCACCACTTATTATTGTACATTGTTTCCAATCAGTTTAATCCTAATTGCATGTAATGTTACTTCATTTCAGTTTGTCTAAATGAAATTGTATCTGGGCAAATAAATAAAGTTATAAAGAGCTGTAAACACTTTTTTGTTACTTCTGAAGGAACTTCTTTTTGGGTGTGTCTTATCACCCTAGGAGGCACCCCAGAACTTTCTAGAGTCCAGAATCTTCTAGATGTGGCAGCCATCTCTGCTGGTTTGTGTCAGTCTAAATCTGGGACCCCCTGCAGTTAGGAGGAAGCCAGATGGAGCTGCTTTTCCATGGAGCTCAGGCAGTGTCTGGAGTAACCCAGCAGCCTCTGCTTTGAGTTTCCTCAGAGTTCATACTGCAGAAAATTAATCCACAGGACAGCTCAGCAAATTCTTACTCCAGTGAGATTCAGGAGCTGCAAGAGCACGAACATTTAATCCTTGTGCCAGATTGCTTTTTATGTAGCAATGTTCTGAATTCTTCAAATTCTTTCAGCATTTTCTTTCCCAGCTCAGTGTTCTTTTTTCCTGGACATGAGTTGATATGAAATCTAGCCTGCATCCCAACTGATGTTAGTGGTGGTAGTTTCTCTGATTTTAAGGAAGGAACAGGATCAGTCCTTACACTTTGAAATTCACAGGATGTCCTGGAACCTGTAACTCCAGAACAGATAAACACAGTAAACTGCCTTTACCACTCTCCCATCACTGCCTTTCTGACAGAATACAATTTTCCCTTTAGGACAAAAAAAACCCCAAAATATGTATCACCTCTTAGTTTTCTAAATGTTGAGACTCCTGAGTGAAAGCAGACAGATTTTGGAATTCAGTCCTGAGCAGTTCACTGCTGGTGCTTGGAACCTGTGGGGAAGGGCAGATGCTGCTCTGTGTTTGCCCTGGCTCAGGTGCTGCACATATTTGGGTAGAGAGCAGCTCTTGTTTGGCCAGGCAGGTTGGGACTGGGTGGGTGTTGAGCAGGGAGCTGCAGGGGAGCTGGGAATGTCCTCTGCATTTTGTGCTCCATCTTGTGGCGACACGTGCTCCCTTTGGAGTTGGTCTGGCTGTGCAAATTCCATTTGCTTGTCTCAGCCCCAGCTGTTTCTTCTCACTGCAAAGTTTGAATCTGCCTTAGGAATGGAGCTCTCTGCTACAGAGAGAATAGAGGGGCTGGATAATGTGTTTGAAATCCTGCAGGAAGGGAAAAATCAAACCTTTTATTTTAGTACTGCTGTTCAACAGCATATTTTGTCTGATAAAAGCAGTAGCTTATAACAGGATGACATTTGAATGGGGAATTTAGGAAAGGAAGGAATAGGTGTGGCCTGAGATCTGTAGAATTCTCCTGACAGTACATCTGACAGTTGTGCTAAAGAATTTAAACCTAAGGTCCCTAATGATGCTAAATATAATGACAGAGACACTAAGTAAGAGTGCTGTCTTAACTGACACTCATTTCCATGCTTGTGACTTAAAGGCTTTGGTTTAAGTCTTCACAGCTGCTCAGCAGAGGCAATGTTGTAGAGTAACTGTGACACTCCAATTAAAAACAAAAGCATAGTTCTATATTTTGCCAGTCATATTTGATGTTATGTATTTATTTGTCTGCTCTCTTTTCTCAGCTTGTTATTTTTAAAATTTTTTTAATTGCTTTCCTTCATGTATCCAGCTGACACTAGCTGATAGGATTTTCTAAAAAATATTTTTCAGGTATCCAAAACTGACCCCTCACCAAAGAGAGAGATGCCCACCATGATTCTGTTCAACGTGGTGTTTGCACTAAGGGTAAGGACTGTCTCCATTCCATCTGACAGTGGGATGTGCCTTGGATGCATGAGACAATGCAGTAGCTCACACTCCAGGCTTGTTTTATGATTAATGGCCAGTGTTAGGAAGCTGCATCCTCTCAGCAGTGAGGTCACTGTAAAAGGAGAGTGCCAGGGAGCAGCAGCTGAGCAGCTAAATGAGAAGAAGGTGCAAGTGAAGAATAAAGAGGTTTCAATGCTCAGCAAAAACCTGGAACAAATACTTAGTTTCTGCCTGGATTTTTTTTCAGGCTTCCTCTATTAACTAGATGCTGGTATTAAGGGATCCTGGCTTGGCTAATTAGGTGTATAAAGCCCTAGAAATTTCATTACATTCAAGCATTACTTGATTTCTGAGCTCTGGCTTTCTTTTCCCAGTCCACAGGTTGTTTAAAAATAAAAGAGGGAGCTGGAACAATCGTCTTTGTGGAAATGTTGATTTGTGCTCGACTGGATGTAATGCCATGATTTAAAAACCTCCAGCTCCCTGCTTGTGAAGGGAATTTTTTTTTCTTTTAGCACTAGTACTTTTCTTACCACTGGCTTTGCAGTGGTGACATGGACATGGCCCCAGCCTGCATGGCTTGTCCTCAGATGAGGAGCAAGGTTTCACATAGGACAAGTACCTGAATCAAGCCAGAAATTGTTTGCAGAGCTCTGCTGGGAATCCTATGCTCCTGTGCTTTAGGACACTCCTGGGTCAGGGAGTACTGAATTTGCAATGGAGGAGTTGATTTTACATTTCACATGTTAAGAAGTTTTGTTTTGGTGATTTGTTAAAGCCCTGTGCTTTGCTTGCAGGGAATTGTGTGTAGATGCACCTTCAAACACACACATGGATGCATGCTGAGCCATGTGGCAGCAGGAGTGTTGAAACCAATGCTCTTTCATTCACAGTGAAGACTAGCCCACATTTTTCTGGAATCTAATTTCTAGTCCTTCTAGGAAAACTTGCTTTCTTTGCCCTTCAGCCATGTGATGATACTGATGTAATTGTGTGTGATGCAGCACAAAATCCATTTGCCAAATGAGACACTCTTAGTTCACAGGGAGCAGTCAGGTTTCTGCAAAATGCTGGGCAAGAAGCAAGTGGAAATTTTTTCTTGGGATGGAGCAGTGCAGTGCAGGAGCTGGGTGGAGGCCCTCAGAGATAAAGATGAGTGTCCATCTGCAGTGGGCAGACAGGGCAGGCAAAGGCCCAAGTGTGATAATCAGCACTGATCCTGCTGTGTTTGAGCTTCAACGTGGTGTGACTCAGCAAGAACAGCAGAGTCAAAAAATGATGAGTCACGGTTTGCTGCTTTCTGTGCCAAGTGGTCACTTGCCAGAACTTTAAATTCCTTTAAAAGTCTTAACAAACATGAAGCAGCTGCTGACTCATGCTGGAGCTAGTGAATTCCCCCTCACCCCCCTTGGCAGCTGTACTGATGTGATAGATTTTTCCAGCACTTTCTTTCTGGGACTTTCATAAATGCAGTGTTAGTAATAAGCTATATTTGTGATTTTTTTGGAAGCATAGATCCAAGTTAATTCAGATTTGGGATGAAAATATTGGTCATGAGCTGGTAATTGTTACCTAGTTACTGCCTTGTCAGGACATGGGACAAACACCAGTGTGGCAACATGGAATTAGGGGGACATGTTAAAGGCACTGCAGCCCTTGTTCTGCCAGTGAGTTTAACCTGAACATTGGGATATTCTGCCTTTTCAAAAAGCTGGACACTTTCTTGTCTCACTGTGTGAAGTTGAGGTCTTTGCTCTCTGCTGGTAGAAGGCCTGTTAACAACTGGAAAAACAAAGCAGATAGGGCTATCCCTCCCCAGGTGTGCTGTTCCTTTCATGCACTTAGACGAGCTTAGAAATCCAAGTTACACTTAGACACCTCTGAGCTTCTGCTTGGCTATGGGTAGAGAAAATTCTGTTCTTTGCCCAGTCAAGAGGCTGATTTTTGGTCTGAATGGAACCCATTTGCCCGTTCCCCATCGTGCCTGTGGCTGCCCGTGGCTCAGGGGCTGCCGTGTTCCCCGCAGGCCAACGCGGACCCGTCGGTGATCAGCTGCCTGCACAACCTGTCGCGCAGGATCGCCATCGTCCTGCAGCACGAGGAGCGCCGCTGCCAGTACCTCACCCGCGAGGCCAAGCTCATCCTGGCCATCCAGGACGAGGTGTCTGCCATGTCAGAGAGTGAGTGCTTGCAGCAGCAGGGGCTCTGAGCTGGAGCTCTCTTCCAGAGAGGTGCTGGTTGTGCCTTCTTGCTTCTCGTGTGCCTGGGATCGGTGAACAAGTTTGGGTGCTCTGTAGCATTCTGACAGCTTTTCCCTGCATTTTGCCTCAGCCAAGTTCACTATCCCTGTGCAGAGATGTGAGTTTTAGAGGTGAAGTAGTTTCATTGCTTTCTTTGCTAGTTAAGTTCAGCACAATCCCTGGAGACTCTGCACTGAGCCATCGTGTTTGCCTCTCCCTGTCAGGCTGACATGGAAGAGCTCCTGTGTGGCCTAGAGCAAGTCTTGCATGCTTTAATGCTGTCTGCTGAGTCACCAGACTCCTTATGTGGAAGCTTCACTCTTATGTGCTGTTACCTGGCTAGAAAACAGTTACAGAGCATTTTTATAGACTGTACTTGGAAAATGCTCTGTAACTCTAATGCTCATAACAATATATACTGTTTAAGGTGAACTCTGACAGTGATGCATTATCTTGCTGCAAGCATTAAAAATTAAAGCTAGCATCTAGAAAAACAAAGCATTTAAAGTCATAATTTGTCAAATTTGGTTACATGTGCTTAACTGAGTTGAGGTTTAGCAGAAGTTGGCAATAATTCACTATTATCATCTTAACATGTAACTTGAGTTATTGTAAAATATTTGAAAGATAATTGTAGATTAAAATGATACAAATTCTGTCCCTAAGATACAGGTTGATACCCAGTGGGGGAAGAGGCAACTCTTTGATTTGAAGTCAGTTACTTACTTTCTTGTTTTGAATCTTCCTATAGCCACAGAAGGGCCCCAGTCACCTTTTCATCACATCCTACCCAAGTGCAAACTGGCCAGAGATCTCAAAGAGACATATGACAGGTAAGCTGGATTTTAGTCTTAGCTCATAGTATGCTGTTTCTCATTGAAATCCCTTGGCTTTGTTCCTAAGGATATTATCCACTTCCTCATGCTGTTAATCAATGGGATTTGGGTTTTAAACCAGGCAGAGCAATATGAAGCCTGGAAATCAGCTGAAATGTTTGCAGAACTGCTATGTTAATCATTAGTCTGTCTTTGGTGTCTTGTTCTTAAAAGCTGATGATGTCTGTCACAGCTTTAAGAATTATTATTTTCTTCCTTAGCACAGGGCCATCTATTGACAAGTGAAATGTAGAACTGACAAGTGTCATAACAGAGGTATCACAGCACTGAGGAAGTGCTCTAAACCTGCAGCTAAGGGGAAAGTGCAGCAGGAGCACTGATGGCAAGTCAGGTACTGCCCTGGCCCCATTTGTGCATGTCTGGACAGCAAATTTGGATGACATGCTGAGACTTCCAGCAGAATGGAAAGTGTAACATGCTGTTTCTTGACTGGGTTAGAAGTTCTGGCAAAGTTTTCAAAGCAGTGTGGGGCTGTTGTTGAACTTTAGCAGGAGCCTGTGTCTGTCAGTGCTGCCTCCAGGGACCCAGAGCTCCTGCAGCCAGGATTGTGCTTGGGAAAGGGGGACACAGAACCTCTCTGTGGGGGGGAACATGCTGTGGCCCTTGCTTGAATCCTTGTCAGGGATTCAGGGAATCAGGCTGGAGTTCCTCAGGGAACCCTTCATCCTCCCTGGGTTGTAGCTTGTCATGTACAAAGGAGATCAGAGCCCTGTGAGGAAGGCACTGGCAGCCTAAATAATGTAATGGTTACAAAGAGCATCAGAAAACTTTCTGCTGAGCTGCTTTTTATGCTCCAGAGCTGTGAATTTCATCTTGTTTGAAGAGATGTGGTATGTGGTTCCACAGACCTTGCACAAAACCCAAGTACTAAAGTTTAAGTACTAAACTTTAAAGTAAGGCAGTTTTTATGCAGCCTGTAATTCTAATATTTCAGTTATATTTTTCTGTTCCTCTAGGGCTATGTATTTATGACTGAGCAAACCCTAATCGTGTTTCCAAATATTTTAGGGACACAGTGACATCTTGTGGCATTTAGCTGTGACTGTAGCAACACAGAGCCCGAGCTCATGGACTGTGCTGATGTGAGCCCTCCCAGAGATAAGGAGGAGTAGACAGACCCTGGAGAAATACACTTTGGTGCTGCCCCCAGCTGTAAAACAAGGCAGTTTCTCCCTTATTGTGAGTGGGGAAGAAGTGATGCAAGTTGGATTTTGACACTTTTGTATGGCACTGTCAAAAGCAAATGTAAGACCTTATTGGTGTTGGTAAAAATCTGAAGTGCTTGTGTGCTTGATTGGAAAGTTGTACTTGAAAAGGAGCTGACAGTGCTGTCGGGTGATAAGGAGATGTTCTGCAGGGTTTTTCTATTAATACTTCATATGAGAGCATAGGAAATATGCTTGTTATACCTGCAGTCAGATCAGCTGGGAGGAGCTGCAGCACCTTGCCAGGCAGGCATAAATTTAAAATTACTTTTTAGTAAGGTAGAAAAAGGGTTCTAGAAATACAATTTTCTCCAGGATGAATTAATTATTCCTGTGTGGCAGCAGCTCTGGAGTGAAATCTGTGTGGTCTTCTGTGAAGTGAGGGTTAGTCATAAGTGACATGGGATTACCAAAAAAACCAGATAGACAAGAATGCATAAAATAAGTCTTGTCTGTAAGATAGGCACCAATCCTGCTCACAGTTGTAAAACTCCTGCTGTAATGACTATTTAATCCAGTTTGGACACCACATTTCAAGAGGGATTTAGGCCACCTAGAGAGTGTGGAGGAGTGTGAATGACCTCAGAGGGAAGATGGAAAGATTTGCTCTGTTGCTTTTAAAGGAGAAGGGAGTGCTGGGAAGGGCAAACCTTCGGATGCATGCAGTGACAATGTGCTGTTCTGAATTTACAGAGACTTCTGGCATAGCCTTTGGCTGTAGGAGAGCAGCCAGTGGAGTGGAGAGAGCACTTTGAATTGCAGATGGAGCCCAGCTCTCCGTTTTAGATTTGCTCCAACCAGCATTTCCAAGTGCCTGCTGATTTCTGCCTTTCCAGCCCAATTTCCAGGGCTGCTCCAGAGGTGCTGTCGAGCCCTTGGCTTCCTGTAGATGGTGCTGAGGTATTTCAGGCAAGACCCAACATGTCCCTGAGCAAGTTGGTTTGTGCAAAACCACAAGTAGAGGAATATTTCTGTCCTTCAAAGTGTTCCTTGGTTTTGAATGAGATGCTTGTGTTCATAAGGCAGGATCAGTACCCAGGACATCTTGACTAGCAGTGGAGTGGTATTAACACTGACAGCTCAGAGGCTTTCAGCTTCTACTCCCTGGGACATTTTGTCTCTAATGGAGAGAACTAGAATGTTTCTTTTTGATTAATTCAGAAAATTGAGTCTTCATCTCGTCCCCAAACTGAAGCATTGGTGTGGAACAGAAAGAAATGGTGTTTAGGCCCAGGAAAGTTTTCAGGACTTCCAGTGCTGAAAAAATTACTGGTGTTACAATACGTGTCTCTTTTGAGGAGCTTTCACATAGTTTTATCTGCAACTGTAGATAATATGTGAGCTTGATAGTTACTAACTGCCTGTCTGGTTCTAGCAAATTTCTATTAGTTTTGCATTGGAATAAAAGTGAAAGTATGGAGAGGTTTTTGGGGAGGTTTGGATTGTTTGTATTTTCTTTTTAGTACAGAAAGAGCCTTTATAAATTTTTAGCCTAGTGGGACTCAACTGTGTGGTAGATCTAGCCCATCTCAGCTCAGGGAATAATTCTATGAGACTTAATGTTATTTCTGTGGCTGTGCCGTAAAATATAGTTCAACTACAGTTATTTATCAAAGGACAGCCTTTTGTCCTTTATAAGGAAATGTGAAATCATTTCAAAGCTCTGAGTAGTCACAACCTCTAGGAAAAAGCAAACTCCAAAGCTACACACTCACCTCCACCACGCTCAAAAATGTGGGGCTAATTTCTGATATAAACAGGATAGATGTGATAGGAGGTGTGTATATGTAAGAATTCATAACTCTTTTCTTTGTTTTGCCGGATTTCTTTGTTTTGCTAGCAGTTATGGAAAAGGCTGCAGTTCTGGGAGGTGCTGGTAAATTTTCATGTTTTCATTTTGGGGCAGTAGCTCACAGTTCAGGACACAGCCGAATAGAGCAAAAGAGCATTGATAATCCCTAAAATATTCCCCAGCTTCCTGCAGCTCTGGAGGGGTTTCTGTACATTCAGCAGCTTTCAGCTGATCTCACTTCCCAGAATTAGCCCACAGTCCTGTGAGCCAGAGCAAATATTGAACAACCCCAGCATCCTCTGATAAGGAGGTCCATGGCTTTAACTATTTTTTGTGTTTCTTTCTGTTTCTTCTGAACTTTGCTCCTTCTTGTATCATGAGATGTCTCATGGGCCTTATGATGGAGAGACATTAAACAGCTTTTTCCTGTTTGCCTCTCCCTGTCTCAGTTTTAAGCTCTGTTATCTGATCATCCTGATCCTTGGCCATGTATCCCTCAGATCGCTCATCAGGTGTTACCAACTAGAGATTAAAAAAAAAAATGTTGAAACAAAGTTTTTATTGACTAAAATGTCTTGGAGGTTTAATATCCTATTGCCTGAATGTTTGTGTCTATGCTGGGGACATTATTTGACTCTGCTGGCTGGCCAAGGGCAGTTGCAAGTGTTGCTGCTGGAGGGTGTAGCTTGTTCCTTGTCAAATTACAGACACTTAATTCTTTTCCATCCAAGGAGGGGCAGGTGAGGGAGAAATTGTGTTCATAAAGCTATAATGAAGGCTGGAAATTGTACAGCCGAATGCAAATGCAGAAGAATAAAATTAAGATCCAGATCAGAACTGAAAATCTGGTTCTCTTGTTGTCTTTAATTCTAGGCTCTTATTGTACAGTGCACTGTAGACAAAATTATGCTGTGGAGAGTGTAATTATGTAATTAAAGCTTTTGCCTTAGTGCACTTGGACCAAACAATGAAAGGAACCAACTGGATCTTTGTGTGAATGTCAAACTCTGCAGGGAAAATGACCCTGCAAGTGTTTCATGCTTTCATGTATCTCTGCTGCTTTGGGTAACCTGTTTTTACAGCCCCAAGAGCTTTCGGGTGGTCTCTGAACTGTCTTGTCCCATTCCTTCATTGCCATGTTTCCCCTTGTGAGGATTTGGCCTGGGAGATGGTGTGGATACCCACAGCTTCAGCCCTTTCCCTGATGTATTTTGAGGGAATCCAGCTTTATCTGTCAGTTGTTTGTGGTGGGGTAAGCAGTGTTACTGGAGCTGCAGCATTTGAGGAACTAAAGCAGAGGTGTTTGTGCTTTGCATGTTCCTTCAGGGCTGGGAGCCTCTGAGCAGATCAGAGCTGGTGGGGCCAGAGGGACACTGGATTCACCCTCTCAGTGCCTTTTAAAAAGAGGAAAACACACGGTATCTGCTCCATTTGCAGCTTGAAAAAGCAGCATTTTCCAGAGTTCCATGCAAGATTTGAGAACAAAACCTTTTGGAAAGTGTTGTGTGCAGTGAGATGTTCCCCAATGAGTCTGGTCATGTGCGAGGTGGGAGGGGATGCTGTTTGCTCTCTCACCACTCTGTTGTGGTTTGGTGAGTAGTTGCACCAGCAGCCAAAGCTACCCAATGTTTTTGTTTAAAGCTGAAATTTCTGCTCTCTCCAAACCCTCTGCACAGCCAGGTGAGCTTGAATAAGAGCATGTTAGTTTGTGGCCTGCAGTTCAATGCTGGTTATAAATAAAGACTTTTCCAGACGTGTATTTGCTCCTGGCCTGTTGCTGGCATGGTTTTTAATCTGTTTTGTGTAGAGGGGAAAATTCATGGCAAGTATTGACACAAAAGTCAAATTGCGAGTCTCAACACACTTTGAATTTAAAATTCAGGCTGGTATTTTCAGAGTGCAAACTTTGAAATTTGATTTTAAGCCAAAAGCATTATTTGGAAAGAAAGTTTAAAATTGAAGGGCATTGACAAATTCAATTCTCATGTGTAGAGCTTGAGATTGATTAGTTTATGTGTTCCTAACTCATGAAAAGGTGTGGTGGGCCTTGCTGCTTCCTCCCAGCACAGCTGTTCCCAGGCCAGCATTCCCTGCCTGTGGAATGGGAATATTGTGAGGGTTTGCAGGGTGGTGCTGCCTTAGCTCCTTATGGTACATTCCCCATTTTAAGTAAATATAGTTCCCTCCTGAGGTGTATTCCATCTCTTATCTAGATTTGCAGACTTCTGTAAAAGCACCTGAATGATGATCCTGGCTCTAATCTCCAGCTTTTTTGATTTTATTTTTTCAGTAGAAGAGGCTTATTGTTGCTTTCAGGCTGAGCTCCAGGGTCTGACTTTATTGTCTTTATTATTCCTGGAACATCCATTGCTTCCACTCCAGTCCTGTTGTCTGGAGTCAGCTGAAGGGTTTAGCTCAGTCCCTGTGGTTTCCTAGAATGAAGAAACCATGTAACAGCACGTTTGTGATTTCATGTGACAAGCAGGAACAGGTTAGTAAGGAAGCAAACAACCTAAGCAGAACACAAGCAGGCTGTTATTGTGGAAATGTGCTGCTTGCCCAGCACAGACATCCTCTTTTCTTTTTGCTTGGAGGGGAAGGTGGAAATTGGAGGTGAAAACATTGTGCCCAGTTCATCTTTGCCCTTTGCAGCTTTGGCCTAGAGAATTTTCCTTTGCCTTGCAGTGGATCTTGAATAAACTTTTTTAACTTGAGACACTGCTGCAATGTTAAGGGCAGAGGGAGCAGAAGGTCAGTGGTGAAGTCCCTCAAAATGCTCTAGGGGATGGTGCTCTGTGTGTCCAGCTGTGGGGGCCCTTGCAGGCAGGAGTCAGCTGGTCCTCAGCCAGCCTGGGGACAGACAGGGTGCATTCAGTCTTTTCCTGTCCTGCTCTGATCTCTGTGCAGGGGTGACCCTGGACCACTGTTTTCATTTGTGATTCAGGGTAAATGCTGTGTGGATTGATTGCCTTCCTATTTTAGTCTCTGCACGACAGGGGTGGTTCGTTTACACATCAACAACTGGCTGGAAGTGAGTTTCTGCCTTCCTCACAAAATCCACTATGTTGCCACCAACTTCATACCCCCAGAAGCAATTGAGAGAAGTCTGAAATCCATCAGGTAAGAGCAAGCTCTGCCCCTCAGAGCGTGCCCAGTCCTTACTCCTGTTCCTGTGATGCTGCAGATGTCTGGGGTGGCTCTGGGGGATGGTGTCACTGGGCTGTGGAGCAGCCAGAGCTCCCTGGAGCTGCTGCTGTGGCTCTGTGGTGCTGCTGGATTCATGGTGCTTGGAAGCCACAGCCTTGGTGTTCACTTTAGGGGGTTGTACTGAGGGGATGCTGCAGGAGTGGCCTGCACTGCTCGCAGCCAGGAATTGTGTGTTCATTTTAATCTGTTGGTCCAGAAGTAATTCTGCTTTTGGAAGAAAGAGGGCCCTGGTCCTATGGTACCTTATTTCCTGTGTTTGTTTATCTGGAAAAGTAATTAACTTTTGCTTTCTTCCTTTCTTCTACTCCATTCTATTTCAGTAATGCAGATGGGCAGTTTTCAGACTTGTTCTCAATTGTGTGCCAATGCAGTGCAGTCTTTTTTCCTTGTCACTGGTATATCCAGTTACCATATAACCCTCTGTCTCCTTTTCACAGGGAGCCTATTATGCTGTAACACAAAAATAAACTGATTTTGAACCCAGTTAGAGCAAAAGGATGATATTAGAAATTCTTTTTTTACCATTACATTGACCCCAGGTATCGTGGTGTGGGAATAACAAAGCCTTCAGGAAAAACTGCAGTTTACTGTGCAAATGTATTCTATTTTTCTGCAGGCCTTACCATGCCTTATTACTTTTAAATGATGAGAAGTCATTGCTTAATGAGCTCCCGTTGGACTGCTCTCCTGCCCTGGTGAGAGTAATTAAAACTACCTCTGCTGTGAAGAATTTGCAGCAACTGGCTCAAGATGCTGACTTGGCATTGCTGCAGGTACGGGGAGCTGTCAGCAGCTGCTGAGAGCTCTTTAAATCACGAGGTGTTTCCTCCTGTGTGCCCATGGGCTCGTGGGGGGCAGGAGCACGGCAGCTCCCTCGGTGTGAGCAGAGAGCAGGGAGAAGGTACCAGCCCTGGAGCCTGGGAAAGGCTGCAGAAACAAAGGGACAGTGCTGGGCAGCCCTGCAGCCACAGTCTTGGATGAGAATCCCCATCCTGGGAGTCTCTGGTCCCCATCCCAGGGGTCTCTAGTCCCCACCCCAGGTGTCTCTGATCCCCATCCCAGGTGTCTCTGGTCCCCATCCTGGGGGTCTCCAGTCCCCATCCTGGGGGGCTCTAGTCCTCACCACTGCTCAGGACAAGTCCATTAAACCAGGTTGATGAAAAACTTGTGAGCACCTCCAGGGCTGCCTTGCACAGCCTCTCTGGTCCAGCATAGAGTGAAACCTTTCCCCTTATCTAATGGAATTTCCCATTGTTCTCCTTGTGTGTGTTGCCTCAGGACTGTCCCCGTGTCCCTCTGAGGAGAGTGGCTCTGTCTGCTCTGTGCCTCCTGTTTGGTAGTTAAACCAGAGCAGGTTGTACTCCTGGCTGACACCACAGTGGTTCTGCCACGTTGATGTCTCCATGCAAATGAAGCACCCAAAATGCAAGTGCAGGTTTACAGCTGCCAAGGCCAGGTACCCCTGGAGCTGCCAAGGTCTTTTTTACTGAAGACTTGGGAATGCCTGTACAAAGCTTCCCATCCATTTCCCTTAGTCCATTAGTGCACAGACTTGGCAGTCATGGGAAGGAGATTTATTTTAGGCTTGGGCAAAGACTTTGAGCCGGTGTCCCCAAGCCAGTAGCTCTTTCCAAATGCCCTTCCAGCAGTGACAGCCAGCTCTCAAATCTGAATTGCTGGAGGTGACGTGATGAGCCCTTGGAAAGGGAAGTTTGTGCCAGTGGAGGGATGAGACTCATAAGAGTTGTGAGGCCACTGAGACCCCTGTGGATGACTGTGATCATTTGGGATGATTACATGAGCTGATCCCAGAGAGGGAAGGGCTGCTCCATGCTCCTAAGGGTCCATCCAGACCCAGGGACACAACCTGTGCTCTGTGTGACAGGGGAAGCACAGCTCATCATCACATGTTCTCCTGGCCATAGGTCAGTGCCTTCTCCTGTTCCAAGGGAAAGGTCCTGCTTTGTAATAAAACTCCAGGTCTGCCTGCAGTGGTCTGTGGTGTTACTTGGCTATGGGATGAACTCTGGAAATTCCCTACTGCTTCTGTAGTTTTGTTCTCCACAAAAAAGCACAGTTAAATGCATCTAATGATACAGGCTGGATTTTATGTCTTGTAGACACTATTTATGTGGCTTTTCCAGAGCCATTAGCAACCACTGACTTGTTTAACACATTAAAATACTTTATGTAGTTCATTACTGAAATACCTCCGTGCAGTAAAAAGGCAGTATTGGTTTCCTTTATGTTTCTGTCATAGTAGAAGCTGATTCTTTTGTTTTATTTTTCATGTTTAACACAATGCATTTTGTGCATAAAGCAATATAGTTTTGAGGTGCATGAAAAGAAACTAAACTTCTATTGATACAGTTTGAAGGAACTCCTTTGAGGCAGGAAATACTAAGTCGCTTAGAAATGTGAAGCGAATCTCTGGAAATTCATAACCTTGTCAAATGCTTTTTGATCTGCCACATGTTATATTAAACCATGAATTTATTCTGAAGGCAGGGTGAAAGGATGGAACATTTTTCTTTCATTTCAATTCAAACGAGACCTTTTTGTTGTTGTATGCAACGCTTGCTGAGAGTTTGTATATTGATTTTGCTCCCCTAATTTTTCCCTGTTTTCTCAATACAGGTTTTCCAGCTTGCAGCACATCTTGTTTACTGGGGCAAAGCAATTATTATTTATCCTCTTTGTGAAAACAATGTCTACATGCTTTCTCCAAATGCCAGTGTCTGCCTGTAAGTAGAAGGAAAATGTGTTGGTGACAGCACAGTGCTGAGGAGTGCAGATGCACTTTCCTTCCCTGACTGGATACAGAGTGGGATCTTTCTTCATGAATTTGTTGAGACTGTGCAAAACACAAACCATTACGTGAGCCTGAACTTGCACAGCCAGTGTGGGCAGGGAGGAGCAGCAGAGCAGATCAATATTCCTCTGTGCTGGTGAGGGCCCTGGAAGCAATATTTACCCTGTGGAGCTGCTGTCAGTATTTTCAGTAGTCCTGCTCACTAAATATCCAATATGGGAACACTTACAAACTGAAATACTTTATGATTAAGTTAAAGGCATGGTTTGTAGGGCTCTCTGTGTAGCTGACATGAATCAAAAGTAGCAAAAGTTGCCATTGTGTTGTTTCACATGCTGCCATTCCATGCTGTGTGCCTTGTCACAGACAGAAGGCACCATGGCCATTTGGGGAGCAGGCAGAGCCACTGCAAGCAAGATGTGGAGGCAGGGGAGGGTATTTTTGCTTGGCTGAAGATTGGCAACCCTTCCTCTGTTGGATTTTGAGACGCTTTAGAGTCTGTTTGGAACTCAGTTATAGGAAAATAGTTTTAAATCAAAACTTTGATGATGGAAGTATAAAAATAGGGCTGGAAGGGACCTTGAGGTCATTCAGCAACAACTGTGCCTGTGTCAAATATGGCAGTGCTGTTCCTGAAAACCTTTGGAGATGGAAATGCTAAGACAGACAGTTTTCGTGATATTTAACTTGATTGTCTTTCACTTTGTTCAGTCACATTTCTTGACCTGTCAGCACAGGGAGGGGGCACAGCCACATCTGCAGCTGCAGTTGGCACATTCAGAGGTTGTGTATCCTGCCCAGCCCTGCCCAAGCTCTGTCCCTTTCACCAGAGGCTGCACAGGTCTGGACTTTTTATCACTTCCACTTTTCTCCTCTGGATCCCCTCCAGCCTTGAATGAAACGCTGGAGCTGAATGTAAGGCTGAGGTGGAAGTGCAGAGCTCCTGGCTGGCTTCTGCAGGACACAACACGCCATCAGCTATGCTTAGGGGTTTTCTGGATCACAGGGAATATTACACTTGGGAATTGGCCCTTCTGCAGTGCTTAGCTGGATCACAGTTACCCTGAGCAGCACTACAGAGCTGACCTGTGCCTTTGCCTCTCTGCTGCAGGTACTCTCCCCTGGCAGACGCCTTCTCCTGCCAGTTCCGGGGTCACAACCTGCCCTCCATGCTGGCCAAGTTCTCCCTCCCCGTGTCCCTGTCCGAGTTCAAGAACCCGCTGGCACCGCCCGTGCAGGAGGTGAGCTGGGCCCTGCCCAGAGCTCCTTGTTCTGCTGCTCACAAGGGATGCTGCTGCTCCTGGAGCACTCGCCCAGGAGCTGCTGTTGCACATTTACAAGTTCCAGTTACTGTGTTTGCAGCCTTATGATTTATTGTTTTATGTCCTCGTGCCAAAAAGCTGCGGGGATGTTCAAGGTGAGAGGATGCTCGGTGCTGGAAAAGCACAGTCCTAAAAGAAGTATTAGAACGTTTCTTTTCATGGTGTGATGTAGTAGGGAAAACTGAAACTCCATTTGGTCTGTTCCAAGCTGTTACCAATTGGTAGGGCTGAATCAAGTTTGTGGATTCCTCTCAATCACATTTGATTTTATTCTATTCCATCTGCTCCAAGCTCCCAATCTGTTTTTAAAAGCAATCTGTCTGTTCACTTGGTTTTGCTGTAAAACTGGAATTGTTAAAAGGCTTTTGGAGGAAGCAGGCTCAGCATGGGGTCAGCAGAAGTCCACGTGTCACTGCATTAGCTTCTGAGAGTAAAGAACTGTGTTAATAAAATATGGATTTGGGATTTGTGAGCTGTTTTGCTTGTGCATCGATCATGGCTTGTGGCATTTCTGGGAACTGGTGGAACACAGGAAGGAACTCAATAAAGTGAGGTCTCCTGGCTGACTCTGCTCTGTTCCCAGATGGAGGAGCCTGGCCCTCTGGCTGTGGCTCAGAGTGGCAAAGGAAGCACAGGCAGAGTTCTTTGGCTGGCTCTCGTGGTGTTTGTTTCTGGCCTTCAGACTTGGGTGCCTTGGTGGCTCCATGGCTTTAGCCCCTGCTCAGATAGAGAGAAGATTTCCATCACCTGTGCACTCCAGCACAGCTGTGAGGGAAGGATTGGCTGTAATTACAGGTTCACAGAGATGATGATCAGAGATAAAAATAAGTAATGATGTAGGTCTAATTCCAGTAGCATGTACTGGTCAGCTGCAGCCTTGGGAGGCAGGGGAAGAGCAGGACTCCACTCTAGTTACAGACAAATAAGTATCCTGAAAATTGAAGGTGAAGTCATAGCATTAATTTTATTATAGCTGCAGTAGCATCAGGAGACATTCTCAGTAATCCTTTTAAAATTAATTACTTGCCTTAATACTTCTCCTTCAATAGTTCTGGTTGTTCTCAGACGTCCTACTTTTGTTTAAAATACATAAATAAATGTCTGTCACTTAGTGCTGCAGTTTTGCCTTGAAACAAGGGTGCAATAAATGCTCACCAGAGCTGATGGAGTGCTCAAGTGTTTTTTAGAGTGTGTCCCTTCCCCCTGCTGCTCACCTGTCTGTGGTGGGGTCCTAAGGATCACCAGCACAGCTTGCTTTCATCCTCCTTTCAGCCTTATGGGAAGGATGGAGGATGATGCTGGGAAAAGCTGTGGCTTTTTGGTAAAGCAAAGTGTGACAGTTCTTAGGGAAGTTTAGATTAGAGCGAGTTTTTATATATTTTTGTATCAGTACATTCTCTTCTACTTGATTTACCTATGTTGGACTTCTTGTATTATTTTTTTGTTTTTCAGTCTTTTAAGAGACGTGACTCCAATCCCTGTCCTGAAGTGGTCAGGCTTTGTAATTACAAAAGATCTAATCAATACAGCAATTAATCTCATGAAATGTGGGTGGGCTTTTGTTCCACTGTGCTGTGATAAAAGCTGTTGTACTCTGAACTGTAAATATTGTCAAAATGTATTCACTTTGCCTTTAAAAAAATAGCAAAGTTGGGACTTCTCTCTGTAGTTTTGTTCTTTGTGTGCACAGGAGGGGATGTGAGGTTTTTTAGGGGATGTGAGGTTTTTTAGCTTTAAAGATTTCCAGTGGTTTTCTGTTATCTCGTGCTTTTCATCAGGCTGAGGGCACTGTTTGTGCTCCTGAAGGTCACTGTGCTGAGGGTCAGTACTGTGGGAGGGGGTGTATTTCTGCAGAAACTGCTGTGGCCTCATGGCATCCCTGGCATCCATCCCACTTGATTCTTCTCTTAAGCTTGGGATTGCCTCCCTGCTTTTGGCACGTGCTGCTGGATGGGTAAAGAATACAGAAGGCATTAATAAAGCCCAGCATAGGAAACAGGAGAGCTCTGAGAGCCCCTCCTGTTTTTATACAAGAATATTGCTTGATTTGAAAAGGGACAAAGTTATTTTTGTTCAATTACCATCACATGAGTGGAATTCCTCTATCCCTTTGGGTAGATGAAAAAAAAAGTGACACATTTTTCTACTTGGTGTGCTGTGGTATTTTTTGGCTGGTAGGAGATATGAACAACCTGATGAAGGACAGGACTGCCTTGGGAGTGCATGGCAGAGTTCTGCTTTTGCTGTCTGCCTGTCCAGTAGGTGGGAGGTGTCAGGTGAGAGGTGTGTGCCAGCCTGCCAGTGCTCTCAGCTGTGCCCTGTGCCACAGACTGAAAGTCTTGATTGTGTCATCTTGATCTCTTTTCCTGCCTGAGGTGAGGAGAGTGTATTGCAGTGGAATCCAGTGTGTATCTGTTGGTTGAGAAGATTTTGGTATCCCCGCAGTGCTCCCTGCTGCTTCCCTTTCTCTGTGTTTCCCTTGGTTCCCTGGGACAGCAGCAGGGTGAGGATGAGCCCCCAGCTCAGCTGACCTCAAGAGATCTCAGTGCTGTTGAGCTGGGGCCCTGCTTTTCCTCCCCCCTCCCAGCTGTGTGCACACACGAGCCTTCCTCCCTTCCCTCTTCCCTTTCCTGCTCCTGTCCAGCCTGACTCTGTTCATTTAACCTGTTTCAGCTGCAGAAGTGTTCTGCCAGGTTAGCAGGTGGAATTCCCTCAGGGAGATCCAGTGAGCTCCAGGGCTGGCACAGAGGGAGGGAGGTGATTTCTGCAGAGCCTGTGCAGCTCAGGGGTGAGGGAAGCAGAAGCTGTTCTCCCCATCTCACAGTGAGTTGTCCCTTAGCTCCACTGTGACTTGTCACGTCACCAGGACTTGCTGCAGTGCCTGGGTTGGTCCTGGATCTCACCAGGGTGCAGCCACACCCTGTGAGCTCACAGCAAAGGGAACTCACCTTGCCTTTTGGTGTTTTTGCTGGAAGAGAAGCAGTTTGCATCTCCTCTCCCCCCAGCCCAAAGAAGCTGTCCTTGCTCTGCTGCCTGTGGCTGTTGGCTCGTGGCCCTGTGCTCTCCTCTGAGTGGCACAGCCTTGCTGTGAGTGCAGAGGGCACGCTGGGCTGGGGCTCTGGGGCTGCTCAGCAGGGTGTGCACCCCTTCCAAACCTCCTGGGAAAGCACAGGAGCACCTGGTGACCCAAAGCCTTCAGGTCAGCACGTCTGACTGGCAGGATCTGTGCCAGGCACTGCTGCTGGTGCAGGGAGAGGCTTTGGCCTGCTGTTCAGGGTAAGGATTTCTTTGTCCACCATCAAATTTCTTTACCCTGCATGAAGGTGCTTTGCAAACCAAGAGTTAGGGATGATGATTGTGGTTTCCTCTGCTCTGCACTGTAACCTCAGCCAATTTATCTGCTTCAGAAGCTGCAACACCTCTCTGCCTTGAACAAACATGGACTAGCAGGAGGGATCTTTTCACCTGTAAGGAGTGTTCCTAGGTGAATTAGGCATCCCATTTCCATCCCCTTTATCATAATGCACGTTGTCATTATTATTGTGGTTCTTTAATTGTCTCTTGATGGGCAGGAAAAAAACCCCAACAGATGGGAAAGCAGACAGCTGCTGCTGAACAAAATCTGTTTAACTTCTCACTTTTGTTTCAGTCATTCTGGGCCATCCTGCTGGGAGTCAGGCACAGGGAGATGAGGCCTCTTCCTTGTGCCTGCTGCAGACATGTCAAGCTTTGTGCAGGGCTGATGGAAAATGAGGCAGGAAAATGTGTCAGGGGATGGAGTGGGAGGGGAGCTGAGCTGCCTGCACACCCTGAATGGGCAGCTGTGTCTTCAGGGAACCATGCTGCAGTGCAGCACATGGGGCTGCTCTGCTGCAAGGCATTAGGGAGCTATTGTTGGCAGAATAAGGGAAGTGGGATTAAGATGCATTTATATTCAGTTGGACTGGGTATAAAATCAGGGGTTGAGCACAGTAAGTTAAAAGAATATGTCAGGCTAGGCATGAATGGAGGGAATGGTTAAGCTGAGAATTCACAGCTGTCAACTAATGATTAAAATGGCAATGTTAGACAGTAAATGTTTCATCCTACATCAGGAGGAGTTTGCAGAGTCTGTTTCCTGTAAAACAGGGAGAAGTTTTCATAGCTTATGTGTTTTCCATGAAACAGCATGGTTTGAATGCTAAAGGAAGGTAATACATTTTGGCAAACATCCCTGCACCCCAGTGGCTTTGAAGGTGTCATCATCCTGAGCCAAGGCAGCCCTCAATTCTCCAGTCAGACCTTGAAGGGGATTTGTGTGACATAACTGGATAATCCAGGCTGGAGAAGGGGGGCTTGTGTGCTTCAGTAGGCAAAACAAGCTCTATTTTCACTGTCTCCTCACATGGTGAGAAACAAACTGGGGTTGAGTGCTTCTAGGCTGCTGTTTTCCTTCCCTTTCCTGAACCTGTTGCTGCTCCCAGTTATCCTTAACTTTTTAGGCCTGGAAGAGAAAACAGCCTTTAAAAATCCTTGCAGGAAATGTAACACATTTCTCAAGAGTTTTACAATGGCCCCAGAGAATAAGGAATGCTGGATCTTGTCCCTCCAGGACTCGGGGCTGAGCTTTCCTCTGACCATCCTGAAGTGCCCAGCTGGGCTGGTGTGCAGTGCTGTGTTTTTGGAAGCCAGTGCAGCATCTCTGCTTGTGCCACTGAGCACAGAGCAGGGCATTGTAGCAGTGCCTTGCATGACAGCAGCCTGGCACTGCTCTGGGAATGGCCCTGGGCTGCTCTGTGCCAGCAGGAACAAGCCAGATGTGGCTGCTGCAGCAGACAGGACCCCCTCTGAGCAGGCTGGAAAGAGGCAGCACGGGCAGACAGGAAGCATGAAAGGAACATGGATAAAATTTAGATTGAATTGGTAGTTAAATTAAGCAACAGAAAATGTTTCACTTTATATTTCCATCACAGTCCTGGTGCTTCAGCCAAAAAAGGCTGGCTCTGGATTCCTGCTGTGCCAGAGCATGACTGAGGCAAGCAGTCCTGGGATGAAGTATATGAAGGATGAAGCCTGGAAAGCTGCTCCCAGCCCATGTGGCTTCAGCAGGGAGCCCAGCTCTAATGAAATGCCCTGAGAGCAGGCACAGGGAGAACCCTGCACCTCTGGGCAAGAGCAGCATTTCCAGCCAGCACAGCACAGATGGTGCAGGGAAACTCTGCTCCTGCAGCCCTGGGTGAGCTCCATGGCAGCTTGGGAGGAGCAGAGGCAGAATGGATGGAAATGCAGTGCTGGTGTGCAGAAGCACAGGCAGCAGGGTGTGTTAGCAAAGCCTCTGCTAGAGCTGATCTGTGAAAACACTTCTGCCTTTGGTAAGAAATGGGCCTAAACCCATTTGGGGTTCAAACCCATTTAGAGGAAGTGGGAAGGTGTGAGGCACTTGCAGTGGTGGCACAAAGCTCCTCACATGGCAGGGGCCAGTGCAGGATGCTGCAGCACCTGGGCTTTTTCTAGGACTGGGTTTTAAGAGGTACCAAATTCCTACTGAAGTTTGGATTGTACAGAAAAATGTCAGGGATCATCAGTCTCTGGTCTAGTGATGATGGTTCAAGTTTACTTCAGGATGGAAGAAGAGTTTCCTCTGGTTCCCAGGGTAGTCCCAGATCTCCAGCTCTCCCTCCCAGAGGTGGCACAGAGGTGTTTGGCAGGGGTTGTGTGTGCCAGGTTCTGGCTGTGAAGCTGTAACACCACTGCTGCCTGGCTTCCTGTTCCACTGGGCCCCAGCTGCTGGCTCCGGGTGCTTTCTAGGATTTCCACGAGGGTGTGGAGGTAGAGGTGGTGGTGCACATGCAGGATTAGACTCTCCATGCACAGGGAGCTGCAACAAAAGAAACTGGCTATTTTTATAATTCATGGAACCACCAGAGTGCCCAGGGGAGGCTGGTCTGGGTCAGGCCCTACCCACTGCTTCTGCAGGTCTGGTAGAGCCTGTCTTCCTGTCTCCTTGCATTTTTCCAGGCTTGTTTTGTGCTCTGAAACGTGCAGACCTCTTTCATTTGCTAATCAGATGTCGCTGCGTGCCAACAGGTTGGAAATTTAAGTAAAATAAATGAGCCATCTTTCCATCCAGGCCTGCATCTGGAAGGAAGGATTTCAGCAGCATAATTGCTGGAGTAAACCTCACTCTTCCACGCTGGCTTCAGATGTTAGCAAAGCATTATGTGTTTGGTGTCTTTTGCCAACCTTCCTCTTCTGTAGATTTTCTGTTAAACATGTAAAATGAATTATGGCTTTTCCAAAAAATAGACGTTTGAAGGCAATCCCAGATAAAAAGTTTTAAGGTTAAAATCCACTGAGCCCCCAGAAGTGGTAATTGCTGAAAAGACAGGGTGTGGGTCTGTCTGCAAACAGAGAGGTTTCTTTTGTGATTTGATAGGAGAGGAGGAACTGAGAATTACCAGATTTATGGAAAAAGGAAAATTATGTGGGCTGATGAACTTGGGTTTGGGGCTTTTATTGCGATTTGGCGAGTTACCCTGATGATTAATGCAGCAGAGTGAGCTTCTTCTGAGCCTGAGCTCATGCTGCATGTGTTTGCCTCACCAAAACAGTGGTGGTTGCTATGAAATGCCCAAGCAGCCTTGTCAGTGATTGTGTTCTGAGCCCTTTGCTACGAGAGTTGCCTGCAGTGATATGAAAAGGCTTTTTATGCAGAAATCAAGAGACAATGATGCATTTGAAGGCTTCTCCCAGATTTCTGAAAGCAGACCCTACAAACACTTGCCCCTTGCTCTGCCCTTGGTGCAGGTGTCCAGCAGGTGTTGGGCAATGTTTAATACACCTCATTGCTTTTGAGTCTCTTTCCTGCCTGAACACCCAGGTGCCTTTATTAGCTTGGCCCTGCGTAGCAGAGGGAGGTGAAATGAGGGATGGTGACTCTGCATGGAGAGGGGACTCCTGGGCAGCTCAGCCTGCTGTCCCCTGCCAGGGCTTGTGCTGCTGCTGCTGCTTCTGCATTGCCCAGCCCTGCCAGGCTCTGGTCTCCAGAGGCTCTCCCATGGCTAGTCAGCAGTTTCCCACCTGACAGCAAAGGGCTCCTGGCCACATGCCCTGGTTGCTTCAGCTCTGCCCCATCACCTTGCCCTCTCTCTGGCTCTGTAGAGGAGCCTGCACTTCAATCTGACCATGTGGGATTAAGCCATTGGTGATTTATTTTAGTGGCCCTTGTGTAGAACCAGCAAAATGGTCTGGAGCTGAGCAAGGGCAGGGCAGGTTCCTTCAGGCTGTGCTGGTCAGTGTTGCATAAAGATGTGGAACATGAAAGGCTCCACTGCAGCCTAAGCACCCACAGAGGCTCTGGGTGTGAGGAAGGTTTGTGTCTGGTCACCCTTTTGTGACTGGAAAAGAGATAAACTCTTGTGTGGGGCTAGAAGCATTTTCCATGTGACTCATTACTCACCAGTGTACCCTTTGTGTGTCGTTTTCCTCCTGTATGTCATTTCCCAGATGTTTAACCCCTCGTGTCTCCCCTGCAGACCCAGCTGATCCAGATGGTGATCTGGATGCTGCAGCACCGGCTCCTGATCCAGCTGCACACCTACGTGTGCCTGATGGTGCCCCCGCACGAGGAGGAGCTCCGGGCCCAGGATGAGGACCTGCCCTTCACTGCCAGGGTTGGGGGACGGAGTCTGAGCACCCCCAACGCTCTCAGCTTTGGCTCTCCAAGTATGAGCACACTTTTCTCTGCTGTTCAGACCCCACCTCGCTTCTAGAGCTTCCCTTAGTGCTGCCAAGGGCCATCAGGCCTTGCTACTGAGACATCTCCTCTTGCTGCAGTACCTGCTAATTAGGTCCAGCCTTCCCTAAATTTAGAGCTGGGCACTGGTGAAAGTCCTAGGGGCTGTTAGACTTCTTTTTAAGAAAGAACTAATGCTTTGTAATTTGCCAAATTCTTATCTGGCTGTGTAAAAGATTTTTATGAGAGGTACTTTGTTTTTAAAAGTAGCTTTGTCCTCCCTTGCTGCACTCAGAAGTATCCCCTGTGTTCCTCTGGCAGATTCTGGTTTTCAGGACAGAAAGAAAATGAGAGAATTTTTTCAGGCAGCATTGGTTTCTGTGGGCTGTAGAGCCATTAGAGCCACCTGAGGAGACACAGAGCTGGCTTTGTTCTCACACATGATTGATTTCTGTTTGTGTCCCTGATTTCTTTAATCTCCCCAGTGCCATTCTTTAGAGTGATTCCAGGAAAGCATTCTTTCAAGAAGATGAGTCAGATATAATGCTGAAATCACCAAACTTTCCTGCTTGGGCTGTTCTGAGCAGTCTTCTCAGAACACTGCTGGGCTTGGATAAGGGGAGAGATCCTCTGTACAACTTGGAGCTTTACTGGAGTCATGAATTAGGGCAGAAATCTTGGAACGTGAGTCAGATGAGTCTGTGATCTGCTTTTTCTGGCTCCCTCACAAGAGGATATTGCTTCTTGGCCTCTCTGCCTGCTCCCACCTTCTGTGCTGTTAGGCTTTTCATGTTACCACTTCATGGTATTCCAGCACAGCTGTCTGGGAATTCTCTTTTCAAATGTTTTTATGGACTGTTTATGGTATCCAGAAGTACAGTTTTCCACACAAATTGATGACTCTGTTGAAACATTTGAATTTCCCATTGAGAAAATCGCTGTGTTGTCATATGACTAATTGCAGATTCATGGAGCACTTGGAGAGCCACTTTCTCTGCTCTCCAGAGAAGAGGGATTAGTTGGAAAGGCTGCACAAAACCAGCCTGAATTGATAAATATTGCATCCTTATGCTGAGGCATACAAAAATGTAGTGTATATGTGTGTGTCTCTCTTGTCCTGATAGCCAGTAGTGATGACATGACTCTGACAAGCCCTAGCATGGATAATTCCAGTGCTGAGCTGATACCTGGTGGGGACTCACCCCTAAATAAGAGGATGACAGAGAATCTCCTGGCAAGCCTGTTGGAACACGAGCGGGAAGCCATCCTGAACGTCCCAGCTGCCCAGAACCCAGAGGATCTCCGCATGTTTGCAAGGTGAGCAGGCCAGGATGCAGTCATTGTTCCTTATCCTCCCTGCTTTATGGAAGGATTGCTGTGGAGTCTGAGCAAATCCTGTTAGCCTGGAGATTTGGAGGAGAGATTCTTTTGGGTTTGCTCCTGTATTTCATCTGTAATACAAGCTAATATTTGTGGCACAGGAACACTTGGTAACAAAGAGTCCTGGGTGTGTGAAGGAGCATCAGGGAGGATGGGTGGACCTCACTGTCCTGCCAGTTTTCTTTTTCCATACATGGCAGACACAAAACTGCACAGCCTAAAACACCCATCTAAGCAGGCAAGGCAGAGACACAGTGATGCTGATGCTGCCATTTTGTGTCCATTGGTATTTCCAAGCCAGCTCTCCTTAATTTTATGGTTTGTAAACTCCATGGAAACATGAGACACAGAGCCAGCCTGAATACTTTTACAGAGTGTCCCAAGGTGTGTTTAGCAGTGATGAGAGCTCACTGCTTAGCTTGGTTAAGCTAAAGGCATTAGGATGTGTGATCAGTAGCACACATTTTGTTGTTACACATTTGCACTCAACAAAACCAGGCACTGTGTGGTTCTGCACGTGGTAAAAGCAGAATGACTTCCTAAGCAGCCATCTGGGAAGCAGGGAGGTGGGGGAAATACTTTTTCTTCCAAAGGATTTCAAAACTCAGTGGCATCACTGGAATGCAACTTCCACTGATTTTCATACTTGTGGAGCAGAAAACCACCTGAGGCAAGGACTGCAGCTGTTCCATATTTTGGATTCAGTTGGTGATACCCTGAAAACCAGGTTCTTGCCCTAGGATGGATACAGGCAGGTAGCCCAGGGAAACTGTAGTAACAGGAAAATGCTTTCCTTGTCTGTGGCAGAGTTCAGCTGAGGGACTTGGACAGAGCTCTCAGAACTTGTGGGTAGTTACTGCTCTCTGAATTATTTGTCTCCTTCATCTTCTGCAACTCTTCAGAGAATATGCTCTGACTGGGAGGCAACATTGGCCACTTGAGAATTCCGAAGTGTTTCTCTCTTTATTACCAGCTAAGTCATTACAAAACCACTGAGGAAGGAAAGTAACAACAAAATCATATTTAATATCTTAAGACAGAATTTGTGGGGGACTCCTTGGACCAGTTCAGTGGCAATGCAGATCCTTAGCTGTCCTAGTGAGAGGAAAGGATGTTGTGATTGCTCCCCTCATACCCTCAGCTGGGTAAAAGAACCATTTGGAACTTTGGAATTGCAGATGCAAGAAATGGCTCTGATTTCTTTGGGAAAGCAGCTGAGTGATGTTTATTGTGCTTTTGCTCCTGCCCCAGGTTCTTCTGCAGATCCCCAGGCCTTACCAGGTCAGAATTTCCAGTCTACTACAGATTGAATTGACAAGTGCAGAGTGCTCTGAGGCAACAGTGAGGAACAAACAGATTAAACAATAAATAAACAATAAACAGATGGGTCCTGTGGGCAGATGCTGCAGTGCACGTGTAGGAATGTTCATGCCAGCCCCTCTTGGTTACTGCTGGTTTTACACACCACAACTTGTAGGTGTATTTTCTCTCTTTTTGTGTCATAACCATCAGAGATGAGTGAGTAAATCTGTTGCTCTCAATGAAAGAGAAAAAGCCATGGTGAAGCTGCCTGAAGGAGCTGATCTCCCTCATTACCCTCATGCAGGGACTGCTCCAGCCCTGGCCAACAGCTCTGCTCTCACAGCTGCCTCCAGAGCAAAGTGCTATAAATGCACAACTGGTGCCCCAAATATCCTGTGGTATTTGCCTTTCCCAGGATGCTGTGTGCACACAGAGGGATGGGCTATTTCCAGCACTGCAGTAAAGCTCAGCCTGGCACATTTTCCTGTGCTGGTGCCTCTGAGTGCCTGTCCCTTGTTACACAGACAGCCCAGAGTGCTGGTGCCTGTCCAGGGCTGTGCATAGCCCGTGTTTGAAGGCAGAAACCTTAAGGGGAAGTAAGGAATTAGTAAAGCTTGGCTCCAGCATTGGGTGTATTAACCCTCCTAACACTGAATGGGAATTTAAATCCAAGTTCTTTTCTAAGGTGCAATTACAGGAGGATTGGCATGTCCATCCAGGAGGAAGTTTGAGAAGAAAAGTTCTTTTTGAGCTAGATCCTCAGTAATGTACACTAAACCTTCCTCTCTGCACATTAAGCAGTGTTTTTGAAGCCTGAAGAAGCTGGGGGCTTCACTCATGGCTTCTCTCCCAAGCCATGGGTGTGGAGTTGCTTTCAGGGCTTATCTTGCTCTGAGATTGGGAGGTGAGATCCTTCCCTCCACTGAGGAATGCTCATTGGCAGCACTGAACTGTGGACACTTCTGCTCTGGTTTCAGGCAGTGGCAGGGACATCTCCATGGGCAGAAACCAGCTAATGCTATTAGCTACTCTGAGAGCTTATTCCAATTGCTGCTCTGAGAGAATTCTTTTCTTTTTAGTGTGTAGGAACACTCCAGTGCTATTAGAGGGGCAGCTCTTGCAACTTGAGGAGGGGAAAACAGTGATGAGCAATGGAAAGCAATAATCTTCCACCTCTGCATCTGCATGTGCACATCTGTCAGCAGACACACCTGTGCAGCTTCAGAGGGACTCAGACACAGTGCCAGTGCCCCAGGAAGTGCCATCTCCTGCTGATTGTGTCCCATAAATGTTCACTGCCCAAAGAGGTGAAGGCAGTGCCCACCTTCTCTGGAGCTGTGAGCCCCAAGGACAGCCTTGTAGATTCTAGCTGGACTTTTGGGAAAACCTCTTCCCTGGGAGTGTGGTGCAGCCCAGGACAGATTGCCCAAGCATGTGGAGGGATCTCTGTCTTGGAAGGGTTTGAAAAAGCTCCACAGCATTAGCAGTAGTCCTCCTGGAGCAGGATGCTGGGCTAGACTTCAGGGTGCCTTCCAGCTGGCATTTTTATCATATTCTTTAATATCCTCTCTAGCTTTTATTGGAGTGGAAAGTATTTAGTCTTGACCAGTTACAAATCCAGACTCTTTCTGAATAGAAGATGGATTTATTTATTGGCAAACTGCTCAGTCTGTGTTGCTGTGGAAAGCCAGGTTGTACCATTTGCACGGGAGAGAGCTGAGCCAGGGTATGAGCACATGGGCACAAGGGCCTGGCACAGGGAATCCCCAAAATCACTTTGTGAACTGTGAGATGAGTTGTAAAATACAAATGTTTCTGTTCACACCTGTGGGAACAGCCTGGCTTTGACACACCCAGAAGTGACACTGTCCTGGGAGTGAGCACTTCTCAGTGGCCACTGGCCCAGGGGAGGTGGCCAGCGAGCCTCATGTCAGCACCCAGTGGGAACAGTGCAAAGGGCAGATGCACAGCCCGGACATGGGAAAAACTGGAGCTTGTCTCTGTTTGCCTGTGCTGCAGGTACAGAGAGCAGTGACCTTCTCCATACGGGTGCCAGCTTGAGAGCTGGCAGGGGAACAGCAGGAGGAGCTGGCACAGAGCTGGGGCTGCCCTGCTCCAGGCTGCCAGTGAGGATCCTGCTCTGAGCCCACAGACAGCTTGTGGGGGACAGGAGGGATGTGGTAGAGAAACACACGTGGCACTGGGCTAGAGGTGAAAACTGCAGTGGGGCATGGGATGGAGGGACACTTGCTGCACGGTGACTCCTTCCCAGTCACCTGTGGGGGTGGTGGGTGACAGGAGTGCCCAGCCTGAGCAGCAGGAGGCAGCCAGGCAAGTGTTGGTCTTGCAGGGAAAGCAGGAGCCACTCCATCCTCCAAAGCAGGCTGGAGTGCTCCAGTGGATACTGGGTGTATTTTGAGGGCTGTTCCTGCACGGGGGCTGCATGAACGGATTGGAAAACAGATCATGTCATCTGCACTCATTTTACAGTCAGTTGGCATGAAGCTGCAGATGGGTAATGGAACATGAGCAAAGGCTGCTGGAGCAGAGTGTGATGTGGAACACATGTGCAGCCACAGCTGGCTGTGGAGCTGGGAAGGGACTCTGGCCTTTGGGCCCTCAGGGGTGGGGAGTGTTTGAGTCACAGCATGGCTGTGACATTTGGGAGGGTGTTGAGGCAAGAGACTGAGCAGCAAGCTCAGCCTTCATGTAGGGGGCTGCCTTGGTGTTATGGCTCAGAGGGAACTCTGGGGAGGGGTCCTCAGCCACGGGGGATTTCTGCTGTTTGTCGTGGGCCCTGCTGTGACTGAGTGGGCAGGGCCAAGGTTTTCTGATGGCTGTAGCATGTTGGTGGCCAGCAAAGGGGTATCTCTCTGTTTAAAGAGAATAGGCAATTTAAGAAGCCAGCATGGTTTGAGCTTGGGCTTCAGGGGATTTGTAACTCCCACAGCTTCTCTGTGGTGCCTAGCACCAAAATTTCCATCTCCCTGTTGTGGAACAACCCAAGCTGCCCAAACCCTGGGTGCAGGACCTGTTAAAAAGCCCCTTGGGCTGCTGTGAGGGAAAACTGCTCTTAATTCTAAAAGGCAGTGCAGGTACCCAGGCCCCTGATGCAGAGCTGTGACAAAGGGCAGGTGTAGGCTTAGCTAAGAGAGCACAGAATAAATCTGCCATGTCCTGACTTCTCAAGGCTCACTGGCACTTGTGTTTGTTCACTTTCTGGAATTATAACTAAGTTGAAAATTGACAGTCTTGGGAAATGCCCCAGACTGAGAAACCTCATGATCCAAGGAGGACCTTGGCAAAGCCCCACAGCGGGCAAGTCCCATCCTTTTCCAGGGGTTTCTGTGCTAGACATGATTTAATTCCCTTTTCATGCAAACGAGGGACATAACCCAAACAACCTCGTGATTTGCATGCCATGGGAGAGGAGACCTTGGGGGTGCAGTATGAGTTTGAGCTGCTTTTGGCCCATGTGCTCCCCTGCTCTGCTCCCTGCAGGCTGCTGCACTACTTCCGAGGCCGGCACCACTTGGAGGAGATCATGTACAACGAGAACATGCGGCGCTCGCAGCTGCTGATGCTGTTCGACAAGTTCCGCAGCGTGCTGGTGGTCACCAGCCACGAGGACCCCGTCATCTCCGTGTTCCAGTCGCTCCTCAAGTGACTCTGCTGGCACGTGGGGAGGAGCCTGCCATGCTCTCCATGCTGAGAGTCTGAAGGATGCCTAGGACTCAGGAGGTGGTTTCAGTTCCTTCTCGCCGTGTGACACACAGCACGCTGTCCCCATCCTGCCTCGATGTCCCAGCGCATCCCCGAGGCTCCAGGGGCTGCTGCAGGACAGCACGTGCTTGCTCAGCTTGGATTCCTGTCCTGCCATACTCACAGCCCTTCCCTGGCCCTGCTGCTCCCCAGGGATCCTCAGAGTGGGACAAGAGGGTTCTGCTGTGGCGCTGCTGGCAGAACTTTGGGGGGACACTGGGAGTGCTTCCTGTGCTCTCCAGCATGGCTGTGGGACACTCAGCCATGAGAGCCTGTCCCCACAGCACAGCATGCATGGCCTTGCTCCAGGTCACAGGGGAGCTGGCCTGGCTCCCCTGGGCACCCAGGAATTCTGTTTGATCTCACAGTGGTGAGGACAGGTGGGAAGGCAAAGTATCACAAGTAAACATGAAATCATGAATGAATGACTCAGTCACTGTGTCACAGCTCATTCTCTCCTCACCCCAACAGCCTTATCCCAAGTGTCTGTTGGAGCAGGGCTGTCACCAAGCAGCCTCTGTGCTCCTGGGTTTCCATGTTTCCCAGTTTGTGCCTGGGAGGTGTTGAGCAGGAATGAAAGGTGCTGGCCAAGCTGCAAGTTCAGGGACCTGTTCCACCCAGAGGCTGGTGCTGAGGGCACTCAGGCTTGGCCCCCAGGGCTTGTTTTGTCCCACCAGTCCCTCTCCACAAGCATGGCTGTGGCTGCAGGGAACCAGGCAGGGATCCTGGCCTGGGTTAAAGCCATCCAGCAGGAAAGTGAGATACAGGGCTGCAATTCCTGCTCTGGTTTGGGACTGCTCCTCCAGCCATGCCAGGCCCAGAACAAGAGCTGAGAGCCCTGGGACATGCCAGGGCCTGGGGACAGCAGCAGCTTGTGCCAGCTCACCCTTGCTGTGTGAGGCTGGAGCTTTTCCCAGAGCTGCAGGCTCTCAGGAGCAGCTTCACCTGCCCACACCAGCTGGGTGAAACTGGGAGCTTTAGCTGACTTTCCTTCCAGCAGCCACTGGGGAGCTTCTTCGGGGTCCCTTCAGTGAGTCTGGCCCTGCAGCTGCAACAGGGATGGTACAGAAGAGCAAAAAAATGTATCTGACCTAAAAATCAGATCAACACCACTGTAGGCCCTGTGTAAACCAGCCCAGCAGCTGAGCATCAAGGTGAGCTACTGCAGTCAGAAAAAAGGCTGCCCCAAAGGGCTAAACCAAATTCCTTCATGGGATGGGGACAAGAGTATTTAAAAATAAACTTGAGCTTTTTTATTATATGTGAACCCTAAGGTGGGGGGTGTGTCCCTGTCACCCACCCAGTGTGGCTGCAGTCCTGCCCTGAATCCTGGAGGTTTTTCCTCTGTACCTCAAGCCAGCACCAGTGCTTTCTCTGTGTGGGGACTCACACAGTGTTAAGTTCTGAACTGGTTTCAAAGGCAGCTGGGAAAATGAACAAAAACCCATTCTTGTTCTCCAGGCTGGACATTAGACAGAGGTAGAGGTTGGAAGGGGTCTCTGCCTAGAGGAAAGGTGTTAGCTCAGGTCACTGAGGACCCTGCCTGTGGAGGTGTGAATGGCCCACAGCTTCTCTGGGCCCCTATTCCAGTGTCTGACCACCCTCATGGGGAAAATTTTTTCCATAGAGCTAATGAGAACTTCCTGTTTTCCAGCTGGTGGCCTCTCATCCTGTCTGAGAGCAGCCTGGCTGTCTTCTCTATCCCCTCCCCTGAGGTAGCTGCACACAACAGTAAGATCCTCCCTTTAGATCCTTCTCTCCCAGCTCCCATCCTTTCACTCTGCTCTGCTGCCACCCAATTTTTAAGCTATTTCCCTGCAGCAAGCAAGCACTGGCCTCTGCTGAGGGCTGAAGTGATGGGAGCAGCCCAGAGCTGTGACCCTTCTCCTTTCACCCACCTTAATTAAGCCTGGATCTGTTGGCAAGGGAGAAAGTGGCCTTCAGTGTCCAAAATCCATCCAGTTTCCTGCAAATAAAGCTCCACCTTGCCCCATTCATTGTGACAAAGTACATTTATTGTTAAAACCCCCCCAAGCCCCTCTGTCTGCCATGATGCAGCTTGAGGCCATTGTACAGAGCACAGCTCAAGTCCTGGTCCCCGGGACACTTGCAAGACTTGTCAGCTGCCAGGGGAATGTCCCCTTGCTGCCATCTCTCTCTCTATTTTCTTGTCTACAACACTCACAAATCTGTTTCCTCGTAAATAAAACCTGAGTGGTTTCTGTGCCCACTCTCCCCTGTTGCCAATGCCAATCCTGGTGGTGGCCACCACGTCCTGCTCCCCCGGCGGGTCCTGTCCTGGCACCATCCAGATGGCAGCATCCTGAGTCAGGTCCCTTTGGTCAAAAGCCTTGTCGATGCCAAAGGCCTGGCAGAGCTTGGAGGGCCCGTTGCAGAGCTGCCAGTCCTTGAGCAGCCTGCTGGGTGCTTTCCTGGAGGCGCTGCGCAGCTCCCTCATGGCATCCAAGCCCTGCAGAGGCTCCAGGGAACGCAGCAGCACTGCAGCCCCTTCTCCTGTGCACGACAAGAGCTGGGTGTTAGTGTGGGACTGTTTTTTGGGAATGCCTCACCTTTCAGTACTGCCAGCAGGGAATGGCCTGGTGCACCCAACCATGGGCCTGTCCTTTGCTCCAAGGGCACTGCCTTCCTCCTCCAAATCTCCAGTGTCCTGTAGCTCTGTGCCCTTCACTCTGCAGTGCTGACTTGCTCTTCCCAGCTCCACCTGATGTTGCTAAGTCTGGCTGCTGCTCCAAGGCTTGCCAGAGGGCAGGAGCTTTTTCTGATGTCAGCACAATGTTCAGGAATAAATACACATCTGGTTCAGTTTTGGCAGAGGTATCCAAAGCCCTGCTCCCAAACCCAGTGGATGTCTAATAAATAAACTCTGATTACAAGAACTGCAGCTAACAAAGGCAAGGAGGAATGAGTCTGGATGCTGCCAGCAGAAAGAGGGAGCTTGCAGAGTGAGGCTGCACAAAGAGACCTGGGAAGGACTGCAGGCACTGCTGAGGGAGCCTGGGCTGATACCAATCCAAACTCCCATTGGAGGTGTCACAGCTGGGATGAGCACGGCCTTGGGTCACTGCAGAGCTCCAAGAGAGGGATCTGGACACATGTGGCAGGGAAGCTCTCCCAAGGCAGGGACCTGGGGCAGGAGAGGGCTCACAGTCTGGCTGTGGGATACACAGCCCTGGGAGCAGCACTTAGCAGAGGAGACCTTTATGACAGAAACTGAACAAAACAGACAAATTCTTTTCTCAAATGTGATTTGCCACCCTGTCAGAAGCCTTGGGTCCCCTGCCCTCCCAGCTGTTGCAGCCAGGTGACAGCAAAGCAAAGATGCAGCTTTGAGCACAATTCCCTGTCAGACAAGGATCTCCAGCCTAAGTGGGACAGAAACGTTTCCCTGGTGTTTTCCAGGGGCCAGCAGGGGCCCAGGTCTCCTCCTGCCCCTGAGTGGCTGAGGAGAGCACTGGCACAGGGCCTGTGTGCAGCCCCACACAGCTCCCCCTGTGCTGGCCACCCACAGCCTTCCTCCCACCAGCATCTGCACAGAGCTGCTCCCCAGAGTCCCCTCTGCCTCTCCAGCCTCGAACATCTGGAGCCACGCTCATGCCTGGCACAGGCTTTTTCTGTAGGCACTGGCAGATCCCTAAGGACCTGTGATTTCCCAAAATAGAATCCCTCTCATATTTTGTACAAATCCCACACTGATTACCCCTCTGGGCTCCCAGTGAGGTCCTGGTTTCTGGCTCTCTGAGGTGTGCCTGCTGTCCTGAGCCATCTTGGAACCCCTGCTGCCCTGGCTACAGCTCGGTGAAGTCAACAGCCTGAACTCCAACAGCTGTCAGCAATCTGTTCCCAGGCACTCCCTTCTCCAAGGAGGGGGATTGATGCTAATCTGGCAGCCAAAGCTGCTTCCCTGGCCTAACAGTGATTTAGAGCTCAAAGGTCATTTCAGATTTTTAAGAACATGTTCCATGTCCTAATTCTGCTTTTTATCAATGCACAAAGAAACATCCTTCCCATCATGTTGCTGCCTCCAATGCCAGGAACAACTGGGGGTTCTGAGCAATCTTCATTACCCTGCTTGCTTTCACCCATCTCAGCTGCAAGTGGGAACTGTGCTCACACTTGAATTGAACTGAGAGACGAGCACTTGGAAAACTGCAGGTGCTCCCAGAGCAGCACAGAGCCCAGCCAGGGGGTACTGGCAATTTCTGTCCCTGGCTGCTCTTTCTGCATTTCCAGCTGGAAGTTTCCAGGTTCTTTCTAGCTGTGTGCAACACACACCCCACTCTGCCCAGAGTAGCCTTGGGAAGAGGTGGAGACAGAGGCAGGACACAAGTGCAGGGTTACCATAATGAGCTACTGCCTTCCTCCCCTCACGCCTCTGGTTCCTCCTGAGCAAACCTCCACATTAGAAATTTAATTTCAGTTCCCAAAGAGTGGCTGAGTCAAATCCAGAGTGCTTCAGCCTGGCTTCTTCCCCCTCCCAGCCTGCAGCATTTCACTCTCAAGGGTCACCTGAGTTCAGCATCTGCCCAATGTGCACACACCAGCAGCAGCAGGGCCAGCTGGGGGTGCCGAGTATTTATCTCTCCTGTTAAGAGTCACTCCATATAATGAGCAGCATTCAGGGCTAAAAGCTGAGATCTAGCAACACTGCAGAGGCCAATTCTCTCCCTGAGCAGCTAGAAATCATAATGTGACAGTGGAGTCCTACACCCCCACAGCACAGCTTCCTGCTCCTTCCCCAAAACAGCTCCAGCTCCCAGGCTTGGAAACAGCTCTTGGCCACTGGAGAAAAAAGAATTTTCTCCTCCATTCACCCACCTGCCTCAGTGCTCCCCAATACTTCCAAAATCCTAGTCTAGGAGCTGAAAGTTAGGGAGAAGTCCCTGCAGTGTGACCCTGGGCTGAGCATCACCAGGCTCTTGATTTTACAAGCTATTCTTTCAGATCTGGCAGCAAAATACAGACCTTGGCAAATTCCAGAGAAACAGATCACAGCTAAGTCAAAGAGAGGCACGACTGGCATTTATCCTCTTCCTGAGGCAAGGGAAGCCCCACATCTCTCTTAACTCTAGGGAAAGCTTTTAGCACTGAGATTATTGTGCAGCTCAGGATATACTGTAGGATTCATGCACTGTGAAAGACTTTGGCTGTATGTTTTCTCCTCTACCACCCATGATTTCTCCAAATGTAGTGATGCCTGCTGTGGCTTCAGGCAGTTGCAGTATTTCACTCAGGGATGGGAGGACCTCTCACAGTAAAATTCCCCATGATGTGTCTTTATCTCAGTGATGTGCATGAAGATTTCCCCTTCCTCACTGACACAGAATACTGGATCCCCCCTCCCCCCATCTCATTATGGTTTTATGAACACAGGGCTGTGGGTGACACTCTTCCCATCCCTGAATGATACTGGAACCTCAACCTCAGCATAAACCAATAAACAGAGAAGGTTTATTCCACCTGGAGTCAGAGGCTGTGAGGTTGTATATCAAAACAAGTGATCCCTAAAGAGTCAGCTCCACTGCTTTAGAGGAAACACTTGTCTCTTGGAGCTGGTTGCCTTCAGAGCATGCTATGAAGAAGGACCAAGCTATGCCACAAGAGATTTTTTTTTTTTGCCAGGGTTTCTTTGTGTTTTTTCACAGCCAGAAACAAAGTTGTGAAGATCTATCCCATATCCAGAGAATGAAATGCTTTTGCCCTCTACCCCGGTGCCACTGTGAAGATGACTCCCTCAATCCTTCCCTCAGACTAAACCACAGCACAATAAACAACTCCTCCTCCCTCTAACTGGAGAAAAACATCTCGGGTGTGATTCCTCCCCACATTGTCCCTTTCAACACTTCTGCATGTGAGCAAATACACAGAAGGGGCAGCTCCAGTTTGTGCAGCTGCATGAGTGGTGCACAACGTGCACAGCCATGGCACTGCCTGCAGTGTCTGACAAAGCTGGCAGTGACAGCTCTGCCTGCTGTCACTCCTGTGGGACAGGATGATGGGGAGGGAGTTTGTAATAAAAAATGCAATGAATTCCATCACCACAGGGAGCCCTTTAACTGCTTTGCTACAAAACTAATAACAGGTATGTAAGGAAAAATTTCCCAAAGTTTGTATTGCAAAGAAATCTTTCTAGAATTCAAAGGCTAAACATTTATGCATATATTTAATAAAAAATGTTATTCTTAGTATTTTAATCACCAAGAATCCCATCCTGACAAATGGACCATGTCCTTTCATAATCTGAACACATGTGGCAGAGCCAATGTAATGAAGTTCACATGTGTTCACCCCCAGACTCCACACCCTCAGCTGGAAAGTCAGGCTCTTCCCCCACACTAGAATGTGGCACTATTTTTCTGCTTGGCTTGTGTCCAAAGGCAAAAATCTGAGCATTAATGGTCACAGTTATTTGCTTTCCACTTAGGAATACACAAGCTTTTTAACCTTTATCACTGAAATAGTGAAAAATAAAGTAAATTGAGTTTGAGATTTTTTCTAACAGAGTGAGTAGTTACCTAGGAAACACTTGCTGCCTTTTCAAGGTGTCTAATTAAACAAGAGATCCATTGCAAGGCCAATACTGTCATTCTTACAGCACAGGAAAAAGAAGAAACTTTTCAGTAACGCTTGTTAAGAGTCTTGAAATATGAAGGACAGTTTCAGTAAATTACAGAATAATTTAATTAGAACTTGATGATTTTTTTCTTGAGAATAATAAAAGAAGATTGAAGATTCTGTAACAGTCTGGGTATTTTGATTTGGGTGGGTTTTTTTGGCTTTTAGATACAGCTAGACAGCTAAAATGCTTCTACTGACTTCTTGCTGAAGCTTAGGACCTCTCAGATGTTTTGTTTTCCCCAACATTTCATTCAGCCTCTGAAGATAAAGGCAGGAGACAGAGGAGTTTCCTGCCATGACAACAGACACCAAGATTTAGGCTGTCATTAATGACTCTGAATTTTTCTCTACATCACCACTTTTGAGGAACAAGGTTCACTGAATCATATGACTGAGGCAGTAGCCCAGGTCATCAAAACTGAAAGCTCCAGTCTATCACCCTGTCCAGATTCTCCCTCATTTCTCAATCTTTGTGTGCCTGAACAGCTCCCAGCTGGGACAAACAGGGCAGCTGGAGATGGGCCCTGCCTGCTGTGCTGCCTGCCCACAGGTACACCCTGATCACAGTGCCCAGGTCCCAGTGGAGGATGGTGAGAGCAAGTCACTGACAGGAGAGCCCACACAGAGCTCACAAGTGACTTGCAGCAGCACTGCAGCTTGAAATGTCAGCCCCATCCTGCTGGCATTCCATCTCTCTCAGCCTCAGCTTACCTTGGCTGGAAACATTCATGCAGAAATAAATCCCATAGATCTGATACACGTACAGAGTTCCTGGTTTCATGAACATTGCTGCGTTCCGTTGTGTTTGCTTCCCACCTTTCGAGTGGGAAGCTTCATCTTCCCCACCCAGATAAGCTTCTGTTTCAACAATCCTGCCCCAGAGCTCTCTGCCATCAGGAAGTTTGCGAACTAAAATCTGAAAGAGAGGTCAGAGTGCATCAGTTACCAGCCCTCAGTGCAAAATAACCACAGCAAGAGCTGTGGAAACAGAGAAGTTGGAAAGAAAGGACCTGATGGTACAAAATCCTCTCCAGTGAGCAGTCTATAAGCTAACACCAACTTTTTCAGCTTCCACAGCCCAGTACAAGGAGTTCCCACCTGTCCCAACAAAATGCCTGGAGTGTCTAGATGAGGCAGTATGGAACAGAACCAATTTATGATCCTACATATACTAAAGCCCACGGAGGTGCTTTTGTGGTTATTTTCTGTATTCTCCACTCCAATCCATCAGGTTTAAGGCAAAAATCACTGCTGATACCAACCTTGAAGCATCATGAATGTATAATCCTTAGATCAGAAGAAATATGACAGTGGCACAATTAAATAACTGCTATGATTAGACAGTTTCCCTCCCTAGAGATGTTTCAAACAAGTCCCAGTCCCAAATCACAGAGATAATCAGCTCTAGAGAGGGCATCAATGCTATTTCAGTATTTTCTGCACCACAGAAAAGGGCAGTGCAGGAGAGATGGGAATTGGCTTCAGGCAGACAACAACAGATCTTTGTTATTACAGTGTGTTCTTGCTGCTGGTACCTCCTTAAATAAAACAAAGCAGATGCAGAGGAAACAAAACATGACAGTCAAAAGATTTTCTTTAAAAATAAAACAACCACTAAACTTTGTACAAAGGAATTTGTGGTTTGACCTGATTTCTAAACTTTATGCTTTACTTAATGTGTATGAAATACTGCAGCACAGTCTCGTTTGAGTACCAGCAATGAGTTTAATTATAACACTTTAATTATGCAGCTGTTAAAAAATGACCTTCAGAAAACAAAGCTTGATTCCTAACAGATGTTTGTGCTGGATTGCTAATGCAGATATTGATCTGATCCATAGCGGATGCTCCAGGAGTTGGTTTCCAAAGCTACAGTTCCAGTACACCAGTTTCCCTACAGCACTTATCAAATTGTTGAAAAGAATCTGTTTATTATTTTTTAATGAAAGAAAGAGCACTGGGGTTCAGCAAGTGCCTGGGAAAACCCCAAAATCAGACTTGTGGCCACATTTCTCCTTCAGTATGATAAAATGCAAGGTTAGGTTATGGGTTTAAAAGCATCCAGGCATTTCCCTGTCTTCGGGCACACCAAATATTCTGTTTAATAAAAAAGTTTAAAAATGGTGATAATTCCCAACACCTCACATTAAGCCATTTCATAAAGGTTATTTTTCTCATTGAGGATGTATCTTGATGTTATGGCACTTCCCTGTGAAAGGCCGTTCACGGCATGTATCTTCTTTGTTTCCAAGAACTCAGGTATCATGAAGGTAAACAAGAGATGCCTCCAAAATTTGGTAGAATGAAGGTAATGAAGGAAACACTAAATTACCTTTATGAGATAATAGGCTGGGTCATGGGAGACTGGGGGTTATACTTTGAAGGAAATGCAAAATTAAGATAGAAATCGTGTAGTTTAGAATACTAGGCCTAAACAGGAAAAATACAGAATTAGGATTCAAAAATCATCTGCCTGGAGTAACTGAATGCATGAGGGTGATGGAGCCATTAAGACAACAAAAATGTATCAGTAATGGGAGACTTCAGGCATCCTCAGATAGAGCAGGACATGGGCAATGTTTGCTTAGACACCATCAAATGTCGTGCAGAGCGAGGAATAAGGAACTTCATGAGAAAAGACTCATTCTCAGATGTGGAGCAAAACAAAAGGCTTTTCCAAAGACTTACTCCTGCAAAACAACTCAGTATCATGACCGTGAAGGATAAAGTTCAGTGTCTTCTCACAAGCATTAAAGTCCAAAAATAATCTACCAGAGTCCTGCCTACCAGCAAAAAGAGGAAACTACGTAAAGAGAGGGAGCTTGTTGGGAAGAACCTCAGAGGCAGCCAAAGGTTAGGGCCTGAAAGGCAAGCCTCTAGCAGGATGTCTGCAAAGATAGCAACACATGTGGAGTATCACAAAGAGGTGAAGGCAGACCAGAAAGAAACCCAGCAGGGCTAAAAGGCAGAGCAAAGGCGTCACTTAGAAGCAAGATATCCTTAGAAAATTAAAAAAAAAAAGGCTGGATGCAGCAAAACAGGCCAAAACCAACAGTTTGTGGAACAAATTCCTGGAGTTATCTAAAGCCATGAGAACCCAGAGAGTGCTCACTCTGCAGACAATAAAGGTATAAAAAAGACTCAGAGAAGATAAGACCATAGCAGTGAAACTGAACATGCTTTTTGCAGTTGAGTTTAGAAGGTCCAGGACTGGAACTTTTTATAGGGAAAATACTAAGGGAACTCCCTCCCCTGGAAACAGCCAGAGAGTTTTCTGAAGGACTCACTAAGCAGAAGAGCCAATCTCCACCACTCTGATTTCCAAAGGCTTTCAGTAAGGTGCAAAGACTCCTCAAAGTTCATGCAATGGGCTAAGGGAGAAGTCCTTGCATGAACAGGTAATGACTTGGAAACTCAGAAACAAAAGATAGGAACAGCAATATTTGGAGTGAAAAGAGCTTAAGTGTGGGACTGTGCAATCCTTAGCACAAGACAGCAGAAAGGAGGCAAAGAAGGTGTTACTGACTGCAGAACACTGCTTTCCACTGGGCTAAGCAAGAAACAAAAACAAGTAATGCAATTGCTGAAAGGAAGATAATGGGCCTGGAACAGCCCTCAAACCACAAGCAGCTAAGCACATTTTAGTAAACAGAAAAAAGGAAGGAAAACAGCACCAAAAAAAACCCAATTAAAAATGTGACAGACTAAATCTGAAAAATTACTCCTCTGACTTCATCTAGAATAGATTCAGCTACTGGTCTTTAAATTCCTTACTAAACTGCACTTAGCAAGAGAAGGAATGAGAGCTGTATGCCTAAAATAGCCAAGCCTGGGAGTTAAATGGCAAAAAAAGAATTTCATCCTTTTACACTAAGTTATTAGCTAGCACATAATACAAGTACAAGAATCTCAGTGCTCATGTCTTACCTGTCCCAGAAAGGATTTGGCCAGACTAACACAGGGCTGGTTGAAAAAATCTTCCTGTAGCTGAGGAGAATTTTTTTTCTCTATCACAAAATATTTGCTGCTTTTTGGAGAAGGATCTGCTCCAGGTGTAGTGTTCAGCTGCTCCACAGCATCGATCTGAGGGAAGCTGCTGGTGTTTTGAAGAGCACTTAATTGAGCCAACAGCTTTCTTTTTCTTGGCATAGTTCTAGAAAATGGATATAAGTATCACTGGGATTATCAAGCTTATTTAAAAGCAACTCATTTCCACAAACTTCTGTTTTTGCACACCTCTCCACAACAATGAATCTGGAAGCTATGACTACATGGACAACCTATGCAAACTGCAGCAGCAGGTGACAGATTTGGCTCTGTTTGCACCAGGCTGGGCAAATATGGGGCTCTGCTGATGAGCAAACAGAAAACAGCAGTTTGAGTATTCATCTTTTAAGGACTGCAGATAAAAGCAACTCTGCTCCACTAAGCATCGGAAATAAGTTTGCTGTTAGGCTAGAAAATTCAGAAAGTAAAAGCAAAGATGAATCAGTACTCTGTACTTTTTACCTAAAGCTAACATAATCTTTTAAGTAGAAAGAAAAAACAGAAAACAAGCACTTCAAAAATTGTGCTGCCTCAGAAAGCCCACAGAAGCTGTGTATCAATCATTTTCAAAGGTAATGGAACTGGATCAGAATCTAAACCTCCACAGGAAATTTAGAGATGCCCTATTCACAGTCACAAACTTGTTTATGGTGCTGTAGAAGTGTTTGTGTTACAATCTCCCCAAAATGATCCAACTTACCAGAAAGACTCAACCTACTGCTCCAGCCAACAGCATGGACCTGAGGCAGCTACATCACAGTTGTGCAATTGTTCTTCTGGTCTGTCACCACTTTCCATGTGAGCTCCACAAAGCTGGCGTTTCCTTTTCAGTGCTGCAGTGCTTACACCTGCTGAACAGGTACAAGCATTTATTCACTGGATAAAGTGCTTTGAAACAGGCCAAGAGATTCTGCAGATCTGATGGAGATGTGATACCAAGAGTGCACCATTAGATCAAACTCCAGAATTATTTGCAGTTTTCTGTTGGTTCAGTAAAAGCCCACCTCCCAGATGGGCAGTGCTGGAGATGCTCTCAAGCCTTTGTTATTCAGTGGGGAATACACTTTTCCTATACTGAATACACTGAAAGCTGAAACCAAACTTTTAAAATGCCCCCATTGGCACTGAATTTGGAAAGTGTCAGCCTCAAAAACAGGACTTTACAAGAGATTGCAGACACCAATTCTAAATTGAACCCCATGAAGATGTTAGGGTCCAGTATCATGCAGATTTAGAAATGGAGATAGAATCATATAGCTGAACCTGCAAGCAAGTACATACAGAAGTAATTAGCTGTTGCCACTAATTTTTCACCAAAAACTTTCCACATCAAAACCAATCTTTATCTTGGTCTGATGATTCTCAAAATGAAGTTCCACCAGCAATAGTTTATTTTCACTACAGTGAAGTTCAGCATTGCTACAATCTGAATCACCAGTGCCAATTCTCCAACAGTGTTATGTTTCACTTCAGAAGAATCCAGACACAAACATATAAAAATAGGTAGGAAAAAAAAATCAAATCACATTGGCATGACTGGTAGAGGGGTAGGATGGTTTTATTTTTTTCTCAACACCTAATTCTTTATTGCAATAATTCAATGGTGTCAGAGACTTGCCACAGAACCACCAGTTCCACAGCAGGTACTCTGCTCTGAGCTGTGGCCTTTAGCTGGTGAGAATTCTTAAAAATGTTGTTAGAACTCAGCAGCCTGCCTCAGACAGAACTGTCTGGTGACCTGGGCAAGTAAGGCCTGTCTAGGAGAAAGCTGCAGGAAGGAAGGGGCAGAGGAGGAACAGCTCACCATTTCAGACTGACCCCCTGGAAAACTCAGTCAAGGCAGTACTTCCCACTGAAGACATTTTCTCCAGACTCCTCTGACAGCATTAACTGGAACTTCCAGCTCATCAGCCACACATAAAGACAAGCTGCAAACATGGCTGACTCGAGTGGAGCATTAACTCATTTGGTAATTGGTGCTCTTATGGAATGCGACATCAGAAACAGGATCTGAGCTGCCTGGCACCTACTGCACTTCCAATTAAATCATTCCTAAAGCTGCAAGTGCTCTTACTGACACGTTACAGCAGCAGCCTCAGGGCACTGGTAGCCTCACTGCCATGGGCTGATCCTTGACACATCCACCATCTTCAATAGAAACAGCAGCAGGAAATTGCCTTCCAGCCAGGAGAAATGGGTCAGAACAGAAACACGAGTGCAGAGTGGGGGGCTGCAACACCAGCTTAGAAACACAGAAAAAAACCCAAAACATTCTGTGCTCTGTCCCCCTGCCTGCTCACAGCAAGATCTGAAACACAAAGCTCTGTGCCTCAAAGCCTATCTACACTTCGTGAAAAGGATGTTGCTGGTAAATACAAATCTCTTCTTGCCCAAGAAGAATCACACTGCATAAGGCAACACATACCACGGATCCAAGCCCTGTGTATTTGGGAAGCAAGAGGCTCAACCTCTTCTGTAAATCCATACAAATTCTGCAGCTCTTCATTTCTATCTAGATTTTCCTGCTTGTATAATAAACAAATCCTACTCCTGGGCCTCAAATAATGAACCATGGGTTTAATCACTTTTACTAATCCTGTTGTAACCAAATTAACTACAAGTTGTTAAGCACATCTGGCAAAAATACAAAAATAAGGGTATGGAAGTCTGAAAAAGAAGATCAAGAGCTGAATCAGCACAAGTGCCTGGAGTGTTCTGGGCTGCTGGGCTAATCTCAGGCAAGTGGTTCAGAAGCCTGCAAGCCAGAATTGGAGAGACACTGCAAATGTGTGCAAAACCCAGCTCGGCAGCAGATACACCCTGCACTCAAGGTACAACAGAGTCTACAGAGGATTCTTTAATCCTTCTAACAAGACTGCATTTGCAGGCATTTCCTTAGGTATTTAATGAGTTTTCATGGAAAAAAAAAAAATATATATATATCCCACCAGCAATTTGCATGTACTTTTGGCTCCCAAGTCCAGATACCTGCACAACCTTCCTCAGGTACATCAATTTTTCTGACAGAACAATGAAGACTACATAAAACACTGCCAGTTCTGCAGAGACAATTCCTCACAGCAATCCCCAGTTGTACAGATTTTGAGTGGGAACAGATGCCAGGTCAGACCAAAGGATACCTCTCCCTGATCTGGCTCTCCAGCCCAGGTCAAGAGCAGCAGCCTGGGAAGAACAGAATAAACATCCAGTGCTCCTCCATGGCTCTGGACTGGAACCTTCTGATCCAGGCTCAGTCCTCCCTGAACCTGTGTAACACCAGCCAAAGGGAGACCTGACCAAGAAGGAAAACTTCACAGAATTAGTTATTACTGCTCCAAAAACTCCCTCATTTTGTGTGGGGAATTTGCACTTGCTCCCCACCCATGTGAATCAGTTTATACCTGCACTCCACCACCCTCAGCCCTCTTTACCCTTCAATAAGACAAAGCCAGCTGGAAACACTGATTTTCCATGTCATCTACAAACCATCCCTGCAGCACCCCAGCCACCAGGAGAGCTGCCCATTTACTCACATCCTCTTTGCTATCTGACAAGGGAACTCCCTTATTGTGTCCAGGTAAAGAGCTCCTGTTAAACCTCCCTGAAATCTGAGTACAGACTGTGAGCCAGACCTCAACACACTTATTTAGACCTGCAGAAAATTCCAGCATTTTTTAAGGCATGACTTTTAAGCCACATTTATTTTCCCCCACTAGATACTTATGCAGCTCTCCAGTAATCCTACTTTAGCTACTAATTCACTTGGTGGTCAAACTCCCAGGTCTGCAGCCCTTGGATTTCCCCTAGAACCCTCTTTAAAAATGAGTGACACATTTGCTGCTGAAACCATCACTAGCAGCACTGTCCTTGGGGGCTGCATCTGGTTTGGTAGTTTATTTCTGCCTGTTTCTGCCAGTTTAGCAACTTATTCCTGCCTGTTATTCCTGTCTTTTTTGTTCCATAACTTCTTAAACAGACATTTGAAGGCAGATCCTTCAATGAGTTCTCAGCATGAATGATGTCTCTCTGCCTTTCCTGTCTAGTCTACCCTACTAGTAACCAGAAGATAATAATGTATAATTTTCTGGACAACAGTGTGAGAAGTGAGAAAAAAACATTGAAAAAAGAGTGCCGGCATGAGCCAACATAACCACAGATTCTGACAGCATGTGCAATCCTAATACCGTAAAAATAAGCCAAAAGGGATGTTTTTATTCACCTTACTAAGTGCTGCGGATCTTATTTCCTTGCAATTCAAGTCCTCGCTCCTACTCCCTACCGGGCACATTGAGCTTTTTTTGGGATGAAACCTAACTCATTCTTCTGTAAAGAATAAAGAAGGTAACAACTAGCAATGACGAAAAAAAAAACAAAACCACAAAACCCTTAATAGATTTGGTCTTTCTCTGAGAGTTTATTCATTATGAATAACTGTGTGGGGATGAGCTACAAAAAAAACAAAACAAAACAAAACAAAACAAAACAAAAAAAAAACCAAAACAAAAAACAAAAAAAAAAAAAAAAGGAAAAAAAAAGTAAAGAAAAGCGCCTTCTCAGCAGAACTACATTACATCTTGGTTGAGGACACTCGGTATATGGAGCGGAACCCAGGGCTGCAGCGGGGGCGCGCCCGGCAGTGCTGGGCAAGGCCGGCCGGGCCCGTTCGGGCGCTGCCGGCGCCGTGGCCGCGGCCGAGCCCCGGGAACCCGAGCTCCCTCCTCCTCCTCCGCCCGCCCTGGTCATTCCCGGTCTCTCCCGGTCTCTCCCGGCCGTTCCCGGGCTCCCCTCACGCACCTGCCGGGCCCGTTCCCGCCGCGGGCGGGGCGCGCGCAGCCCCTGCCGCGGCCCCGCGGAAGCCCCGCAGCCGCCGTGAGGGGCGGGCCGGGGCGGGGCGGGCGCTGAGGCGCGGCCGTGAGGGGGAGGGCGGCTGGCGGCGGCCCCGATATGCGGGTGCTTTTCTCTCAGGGGTGTCTCGTTGTGGGTGTTGCGTTCTGGAGCTCACGTCCTCTGTAAAACAGCGTTTGAACGCCCGCTGGTTTTCAGCATCCACTCCTCGGTTTTTCATGTTAATTCATCAGTACAAAGGCTGAGAGAAGTGGGGGGTTCGGCCTGGGTTAGAGAAGGCACGCGGAGACCTCAGAGCCCTTCCAGTGGCTAAAGGGCCTTCAAGAGAGCTGCAGAGAGACTTTGGATAAGGACCTGGAGTGACAGGACAAAGGGGAATGGCTTCAATCTGACTGAGGGGATGTTGGGAAGGAATTCTTCCCCGTCAGGGTGACGAGGCCCTGGCACAGGGTGCCCAGAGAAGCTGTGGCTGCCCATCTTTGGAAATGTCCAAGGCCAGTTTGGACTTGGGATAATGGAGGGTATCCCTGCCCATTTCAGGGGGTGGAACTGAGTGATCTTTAGGGTTCCTTCCAACCCAAATTATTTAATGGTTCTACTCCAAAAAGGCATGAACACGCATTCCGATGAACATGCGTGGTCACAAGCTGGCTTTGCAGAGAGCTGCATTAATTACTCCCTCAGTTCCCCAAATAACAAGTATCTGGCCTGCAGAAAAAAATTCTTGGCTTCAGCTTTTATCCAGATGGAGCAGATGGTAAAAATGGGGCAAAATGCAATTTTTCCTCCCAGCATTCTGGGGACATGCAGCTGGGGCCATTGATTCATAAACAAGTGTTTGCAGAAAGGGTATGAGGGAAAGTCTGATGAATCCAAGTGGGTTTATTCCCATTTTTGTAATAAAATACCAAGATAGCACCAGCTAGGATCCAGTGACAGAGAATAGGCATTTACTGTCTACCCCTTTTGTGAATTTGGAAAGGAGAAGGATAAATTAATGACTATAATTGTAGGGGATATTGACAGCTTTGGAGGTGCAGCTAAAACTTCTTATGAAGCAGAAATAGGGACCAGTTAATTTGAGCATGGAGTCATGCTCAAATGTGAGCAGGTCAGAGGAAAAACTCTGACATTCCTGTAAACCATGAAGGCAGCCCAGAATTTCCAAATGTTACTATTCCAGTTTAATAGGACAGTGTAAAAAATACCCAAACAAACCATGAATGGAGCAAACACAGAGTCTGTTACACAATATTCATTCTTTTTTGACCATGAAAAAGCAGCTAATATACTTTGGAACACAAAGCAACTTCAAGCCCTTAAATCATTGTAAAGCATGAGAGCACTGCTACTGTAACGGTGAAAAAAAACCCAGAAAGGGAAAGAAACATGAATAAATCTTAAAGGTATTGATACTAGAGATCTCTGTATGATGTTTTAGTTAAAATGGATAAAAAATAAGCTCACAAGAGTGAGGAATCCCTGGAGGGATGTTACCTGCTGGCTGCACAGATGTGTTTAGCTCCAGCCTGAAACGAGCCGTTTGTGTATTAGCAAAGACAACAATCATTTACAAATGATTAACAGTGTTGACTGAGTGTCTTTGAAAGAGCATCTCGGACTTCCTGACTTGCATGGTTCACATCCCAGCTTTAATGTGGTATTAATATAAAAGAGGAAGACCAGGAAAGTGCGTGAAAAGGAAGATAACCAAACATCAAACTGATCTTTCAGCAAATTATGAAACTTAAAGGAGAAACTGAGCAATAACGAGAGCTGTGGGGAGGATTTCCTGGGGTCAGACTAGTTCAGCTCTGCAGACATTTCCCCTGTGGGAGTCTGTGGGACAGGCACTCTCAGGATGCTGGCTTCTTTGGCAGCAGATCTATTTCATGCCCAAAGGAAGTATTTAAAGCTTTTAGCACCTGAGGAATGCAAATTGCTCCAAGCGACAGCATATGCCATGTTCTTCATTTGTCCAATAACTTCACTGTTACAGAATCAACGCCTAAAATAGCCTTCTGTAAAAGCTGATCTGTTTGAGAAGATTAAAGTTCCCCTCCCTGTGGGGCAAAAACTTTTTAATGTGAGAGGAATGACTTGGACTCTGTGGTTAGAAAATCTGGCTGGTGCAGACCCTGGGGTCTGTGGCACAATGGCTGCACACAGCGCGCCAGGCTTTTCTTGGAGCAAAAACTGTTTGCAGAGTGGTTCCCTACAGCTCCCAGGCTGTGCAGAGCCCTGACTTATCATCCTCTTACAGCCAGGACAGCAGAGCAGCATGGAAGCAGGACAAAGCAGTAGGGGCAGATTTTCAAGTTTTCTCTTTGTAAGGTGCCAAGTGAAGCTTCAGCGGTGTCTGCTGAAAGCCTCCTCTGTCCCGTTAGGAGGAGACACGGAATTCCCCACCGGCCATCGCCCGGACACTTCACGTGGCCACGCTGCTCTTGCCAGCAGCACGGGACAGCTGCAACACTTCATGAGCCAACTCTTGAAGAATTCCTGTGGATGAAAGCACTCCAAACAGCACAGGGTTTTTATGACATCCCCTCCTGGCCTCTCCTGACATCCAGTCTTGGCTGCCGCTTCCTACTTATCCGCAACTGCCAGTGTGTCTTATCCAGAGCTATTTCCAACCAGTGTCTGAGGTACATACAGCACTCCAAAACCCGGTGCTGGGAGGGAGAGGTGCTTGTAGCTACTTTGGTATCTCCCACACCCAAGCTGAGCCACAGATCAAATGCCCAGTTCTGTAAGTCAAGCCCATTCAATTCCTTATGTAAGCACATGTGTGTGTATTATCCTAAATTTGGGGATATCTGTGGTAGGTACTGGTCTGCACTCAGGGTGCAGGAAATTCTTCCAAGTGCACTGCAAGCAATGGGAAAACCCAGTAAAGCAACACAGCTTCTGGGAACCTCAGCTCTGGACCAGACAGGGCAAGCAAGTCCTATTCAGTAACCTATTAATGGATTCTACTCAGTCTTATTTGTTTGTTTGCTTTGTGTGAAAGACATTTTTGTTCTCTGACAAGACAGAAATGGTTGGTTTCACAGGATTGCTCAATGCAGAGAAACAAATAGGTTAGATATTAGGAAGAAATTCTCCCCTGTGAGGGTGGTAGGCCCTGGCACAGGGTGCCCAGAGAAGCTGTGGCTGCCCTGTCCCTGGAAATATCCAGGGCCAGGTTGGATGGGGCTTGAAGCAACCTGGGATAGTGGAATGTGTCCCTGCCCATGGCAGAGGTAGAACTGGATGGGCTGTAAGGTTCCTTCCAACCCAAACCATTAAAAAAGAACAAAAGCTAAAAACCCAAGTGAGCAGGGCAAGCTGCTGGGCTGTTGGGCTCTGCTCCCTACATCTCTAGGACTGACAGCTTACGTGGTATCCCTGGTGGAACTGGTTTTGGTGGTACCATAGAACAGCTGTGCCTGGGAGCCACTTTCAGCTGCACAGGAGCAATGGGAAGCTGGAGAGTGAGACCAAAGGCTCAGCTAAACTAGCAGCAGGTGAGGAAGGATGAGATGGAACTGTACCAACAATCAGCCAAACTTTTTTAAACATGGTAGTTTCCTGTTCTGAAGGGGTTAAAGACAGTTCATTCAGCATTTTCTAGATCAAGATGCAATCATGGTTATAGATCAGTCAGAGCAGAGAAATGGTATACATGAGAATGTTGGAGGGATTTGTGGAGAAATATGTAAATGCCTGTCCAGTCAGAGCACTGCAAGCCTGAGAGCTGTTAGCCATCTCCAGCTCTGCCCCTCTGCTGACAGTGCTCAGAATGTGCTGGATGCAGGGAAAAAGCCAATTAAAGAAATTCCTCTGGCTCCTTGCCCCCAACCACTTATTCTTGCCTCTTCTTCAGAGCAGTTTCCTTTCCACTGTACCAGTACAGTGACGTGCAGAGCTGTTCTCCAGGCCCCTGAGCTGGAGGAGGTCACACCCCTTCTCGTATGCTGCTGCTGCCGTGTCCGTGCCCTCTGGACTGAGCAGGACCTCACCTGTGACATGGATGGCCTGGAGCAGTAAGAGCAGAAACAGGCATAAATGGGGTGCCAAGCTGAGGTCAGGGTAATCCACTGAGCAATCACCATTTTTCTGCATCCTGTGCAATGTCAGCATGCCAGCAGATAGCAGCAGTTCAGATAAGCTCCACCAGTGTCTCATAACAGATGAAAAACTGTGCAAATTAGGATGCAGTTAAACTGATGATGATAATTTGTTTTTACAGGAGTAATCCTGTACCTTTTGCAATACAGAAATGCTTCTGGGACAGAACTTTCAAAGATGATGCCTATGTGAGTGTACTGGGATAAAAATTGGTCACATACTTACTGGCTCCCCTGGGACAAAACGTCAGAGCATTTTCCAAAGCAGACCAGAAGTTAAGTAGTGAGTGGGACTTGCTCACTCTGTCTCAGAGGTTCATTACAAAACTTGGCATGGAGAGGGGGCAAAGACTGAAAAGGAAAGAA